CACCCCTAGCAAAGTTTTCTGTCACCTTTTAAGTTTATCTTTATCAGCTGATTAGCATAGTAGACAGAGAGACAGGTATTCCATGATTTCATTTCCATGAGAGATGAGGAAAGGGTGGAGCATGGGTTCTGCATATGCACTGAGGGGGAATGGGGCGCACCAACCCCCTTGTCAATCAAGCCGGTGGTCATGCTCGCCCCCTTCCTGCACCCCCTTACTTTTTGCTCAGTTTTTGCTTAGGCCATTCTGGTGCTGGTTATTTATCTCTCTTATTAGTCCTTTAACCTGAACATCTGGTTTCACTCAGTCCTCATTTCCCTCCTTTGAGGCCCATCTGAGGTGTCTGGCAATACAACGGCAAGGGAGTGAAGCCGTGCACCCTTCAATACACTCCGCGCTTCCTTGAGCGGCATTCCCTAGACTAATCACAAAGGACACAGCTTGTCAAAGTCTTCCGTGTCGATGAATGTTTGAGGCATCAATTCCTTCAGTTCCTTACACTTAGCATTCTTTGAATGTCCCTTTTTACCCCGGAGCCTGTTCAGGAGATGTTTTATGGAGCCATTCATGGAGAAACACCCCAGTGCATCAACCCCTGCCTCGGTACTGCACTCTGGGATGTTCCCTTGCACAGCTTCGACTTGGGGAGGCATGAAGATCCATGGAGTTCAGCACTGGCTCTGCATGCACTCTTGCTTTCCTCCCCTTGAATTAGAGTAGCTGCTTTTCCTCCTGCTGGGGAAACCATGTCTTCATCGACGGCCTTCAGAGGCCCAGTGGTGCAAAGACCAGGAAGCTTTTCTCTGCATCTTTGCAGCTTGCTTTACATGTGCTACTTTGCTCTTGAACAAATGTGATGCCTGCTGGTAACCTTCCTTGCCAGAGAAATCGGGTCGCCTGGATGAGAAGGAGATGCTCTTCGAGGCAGGGAGGGATGTGTGCCATCTGCCTAGCAGGAAATAAACCTCTCCTTGTGCTTGGCCCAGACATCTCTGAGAGCTTCAGAGGTGTTAAAGTTCAGGGAACATGCCAGCAGAAATATGATTAATCACCCAACAAATTAACTGCTCTTTTTCCCACAGCAAAGGGAGGTCAGGGTCTTCCTCAGCCTGAGCCATTTTCCTCCCTGTCCTGGCTTGAGCTAGAATAGACTTAACATTTCTTCTTAGTAGCTAGAATAGCGCTGTGCTTTGGATTTGGTATGGGGTTTGGGATGAGAAGAATGCTGATAGCACACTGATGTTTCCAGTTGTTGCTGAGATTTCAAGGACTCTCCAACTCTCCGTGTCCTGCCCGTGCGCAGGTGCACAAGAAGCGGGGAGGGAGCATGGCCAGAGCACAGGAGCCAAACTGGGCAGTGAAATATTCCACATCATGGAACATCATGCTCAGGATACAGCAGGAAGGGGCTCTCTCTCTCTCTCTCTGGCTTCCAGGATTGCGATTGTGGGATCTTGGTATTTCGGGGTCGCTGGCCGGGAACGGGCTGGGTATCTGTCAGCAGATGGTGAGCAATTGCATTGTTCATTGCCCGTTTATACCTTCTATTATTCTCACTGTTTTATTTTATTACCATTATTAAACTGTTTTTATTTCAACCTGCAAGTCTCCCTTTACCCCTCCAATTCCCTCCCCCGTTCCCAGGTGGGGGAGGATGGGCGAGCAGCTATGTGCTGTTTGGCTGCCGACCAGGTTCAAACCACAACACTCTCCCAGTGTCTTTCCCCTTCTTCTGTCTCTTCTGGCCTGTCCCTTTCTTCTCTTTCTCTGCTCCACTTCCTTCCTCCTTTCTGTTCTTCTTCCTCTAATTCTCTTCTGTTTTCTCTCTTCTGTGCTGGCCTTTCCTCTTTTTCACACCATCCAAGTATACTGCAGTCGTCCCTACTGCCACCCTCACCCATCCCCATCCTTTCCCATTCCTCCTCTTCTTCTCCTTGGCTTGTTTTCTCTTTTTCCCTTCGCTTTTTCTGGGTTTTCCCACTGTGACCCCAACCACATCCCTGTTCTTTCCCATGTGGATTCCTGCTGCTCTGCCAGCAGGCAGGGAGCATGGTGGAGGCCAAGCTGCTCCTGTGTGCTCCAGCACAGCTGCAGCTTTGCTCAAGACCTTGTATTCTGCTGCATCCTTTTGGCAGGAGGTTCGGCTGAAGAACATGTAGGAACTAGGCTGGCAGTGACTGCAGCACTGAGGACTTGTCCACCAGTGCCCAAAAGCACCATCACCGTGGGCATGAAGCTTGGGGACCACATCAGGCAGCAGGTCGTGGGGAGCTGCAGAGACCTCCCTGGCTGCACTCCTTGGTACCCCTCTTCTTCAGGTTGGGTGGCTCCTCCATGGGTTCCCCAGGGGCCTGTGGCTACATTCTGTCCCGAAAAAAAACAAAAACCAACCAAACAAAAAACAAACAACACAAAAACCCGAAAACAATCAAACAAAAAAAAAAAAACACAAAAAAAACCAAAACAAAAAACAAACAAAACAAAAAACAAACCAACCAACAAACAAACAAACAAAAACGAACCAAAAAAAAACAAACACCAAACCAAGCCTGGGAAAAGCAGCACTTTTATTTTTGTTTCTCTGCCTGAGTCAGACTTCCTCCATGTGGTGAGCAGAACTTGCAGAGCAGCGAGGACACCCTACGTGCTCCTGGCAGGGAAACCCACCACAGATGCCTTGCCTGCGAGGGCACGCGGGGACAACAGGGACCTCTGTCCCGACAGAGGCGGCACGTACACTTTTGAGATAAGGAGGGCGTTTTGTTTATTACCGCTTTATCTTCACACACTCAATTAACTGCTTGTGATAGCATCTTTCCAAGAACTGAAATTCAAAGGCTCAGGTCTGGCCATAGCTGCTTCACCTTTTTAAAAATAGCCGATGGACAAAGATGCTGGCTCCACCCTTCCTGTCTGCACTTGCTAAAGCCCCTGAGATCTCAAGAGATTGTCTCAGCTAGTTCCTTAAGCAGCCCTGGCTCAATTTCTTCACCTCTTGCTCACCTGTGTAACTGCTCCAAGGCTTCTTTCCTGGTTTGTTGTTAAAAACACTATCCCAGATCTGATCCCCACTAACCTGGGGCATAGGGGAGGACCCAAAAGCAGCACTACAAACATCCCAGCTTTCTCCACCTCAACAGCTAATGACTCTTTCTTGGGGAAGCAATGAGCCAAACTGTCCCCTTTCCTTCCTCTTCTTTTTAAGACAGTTAAGCAAATGCCGAGCCTTTTGCAGCCCTCGTTAGTCTTAACTCACTTCATACCTTAGCTTTCTGATTTTGCCTCCGCAATTTAGTGATTGTCATTCTGCTCACGTACTTCGTGTTTTTCCTTTCCTTGTGGCACTCCTTTTTGGCCAGTGGGATGCTGAAGAACTTCTCTGCAGCCGTATTTGCCTCCTCTGAAGCTTCCCTTCTTGCCTCTGCTAAGGATAACTGGCTGCCAATGCTTTTAACACAAGTCTCAGGTGTCCTACTCAGCTCTTCTTTAAGTCACGAACAGTCCCCCTTAGTTGAAGTCGGCTTTTTTTAAACCCTTTTCTCCTTAAAACAGGAACATTGGTCATTTCATGCTGTAGGAACATGAGAAGGGCTGTGCTGGGCCAGCCCAAGGGCCACCCAGCCTGTCTATAGAGATTCATACAATAATTTAGGTTGGAAAAGACCTCTAAGGTCATTGAGTCCAACCACAGACCTAACACTGACAAGTCTACAATTAAACCATGTCCCTAAGCACCACATCTGCATGTCTTTTAAATACCTCCAGGGATGGTGACTCAACCACTTCCCTGGGCAGCCTCTTCCAGTGCTTGAAAACCCTTACAGTGAAAAAATTTTTCCTAGTGTCCGATCTAAACCTCCCCTGGCGCAACTTGAGGCTGTTGCCCCTTGTGCTATTGCTTGTTACGTGGGAGAAGAGACTGAAATCCACTTCAGTACAACCTCCTTTCAGGTAGCTGTAGAAAGCAATAAGGTCTCCCCCGAGCCTCCTTTTCTCCAGGCTAAACACCCCCCAGTTCCCTCAGCTGCTCCTCACAGGACTTGTGCTCCAGACCCTTCACCAGCTCCGTTGCCCTTCTCCGGACACACTCCAGCACCTCAGCGTCTTTCTTGTAGTGAGGGGCCCAAAACTGAACACAGTATTCAAAGCGCGGCTTCACCAGTACAGGGAGACAATCACTGCCCTGGTCCTGGTGGCCACACTAATTCTGATACGAGCCAGGATGCTGTTGGCCTTCTTGGCCACCTGGGCACACTGCTGGCTCGTCTTCAGCAGGCTGTCGACCAAAAAGGTGGCCAGCAGAGCACCGGCTGGTCCCTTGGTGGGCTTCTGCCCCACCCCAACCTCCCTGGCTGCCCCAGCACCACACCAGGAGGGTGCAGGATGGTTGCCCTCGCGTCCCACCCACGCACAAGCAAGGGCTCTCCTGGCCACCAGGATCGTGGCTGAGCGGTGTCTGCTCTAAGCCAAATCCCATGGACCTCCAGGCACGTAGGTTGGAAACAGCCCCCAAGGGGTGATGGGCAGTGAGAATTTCTAGAGTTCTGCCATCTTGCTTCCTTTTTGCAGCCAGGAGACCTGGCACCTCTCCTTCCAACCCCAGTTCCTCCTCCAGCTCCTTCAGGAGCTGCTGCTGGGTTTTTGGCTGCATTTTGTACCTGCCCATTTAACGTAGACCTTCCTTTTCCAAGCTGGGACATCCCTAGGGATACTCCCCCTCCTCACCTGCTCCTCCTCCTCCTCTATGGTTGCAGGTACCCAGGAGGATGCTGGAGAGGACGTCCTGCAGTTTGGTGGAGCCTGATTCTGCTCTGCATCCCTGGGCAGCCACCCCCCAGCAACCTCGGTGACTCTATGAGCCTCCCCAGTTCAACACTTTGACCCGCACATCCCACCCCCTTTTCCACCGGCTGCGCCCCTCCAGCTATCTGGGATTTTTTCCCCTTTCTGTAGGCCTTGCCTGTGTCTTCCTGGGCATGCATGACCTGAGCTCTGCCCCCAGGACACCAGGAGCTCCACTGCCACTGCTTTGGGGGCATCTCCCATGGGTATATGCTCTGAAACTGGACTGAGTGGGGAAACCAGAAAGTCTCCAGGGCTTGGCAACTATTCCTGTTGGACTTCAGCTGGGTGTCCCTCAGCAGTACAGAACTGGAAACACTGCGAGCAAAAACACTGGGTTTTTTTGTTTGTTTGTTTGTTTTTTTCCGAATTACAGGAAAGCTCTACATGCATGAAGACACCCATCCACTCCCGGTATGAAGCAGATCCACGTAGATCACTGCAGCAGCACTTGAGTTGCACCTCTGCGAAGCAAACACCTTTCCATCCTTGCTCCCTGTTTCAAGTGAGTGAACCAGCTCAAAGTCAACACATGTCACAGCAGGTGCCTGCTCTGGAGAAAATCCAGAATATTGCTCCAGGACTTTTCCAACACCACAGGGAGCTTCTCATGGCCATTCCACCCACGATGTCTAGCACCAAGGGGACACCAAGTGCTTCCTTCACCATGGTGGCCACGTGGTGCATGGTGACATCGCTGAAACATGGAGCAAGTTGCTAGAGAAGCCCGTTGGTGACCAGAAACCATGAAAGGAGTTGCTGAGGCTTGGCAGTGCTTGGGGCTCTGGGAAGGCAAAGGGAGAACTGGCTGGAAGAGCCCTGTCCTCACCGCGAGAGGTGGCTTCTCCCAGGGGAACGTAAAGCACAGTGGTACAGCCATTTGGGGGTAAATAGGTGGCTTTAGTCACCAAGATTGCACTTCCATATGAGAGAATGCCTCATTTTCAGGGATAACAACCCCAACAGGCATACAACAAGCTGCTTGTCCCTCCCCTCTCCCTCATTTGCCTTCTCCCTCAGAAGAGAGATCCACCCCTGCATTGGCAGCACCGGCATCCCCAACGCTCTGCTTTTGTTGCGATGGTTTGATCTCGGTGTAAACGATGTCAGAGGAGGTGGGTTTTGACTCCTTTTCAAACTTCAGGTTGGCGTAGGTCAGGTCCTCAGTCCCTGTCACCGGGGCTGCCTGCAGGGGAGAGACCAATGAGCAGAGCCCTGGATTTCCCTTCTGCATCTCCCCTGCTAATGTTTTTTCACCAGCACAACTATTTGTACTGCCCAAGCACTATCCAGCTTGCTCAAAGGTGCCACCTATTCAGCTCGTAAGCCCCTATTTAATAGGAATTAATGAGTGTTTAGGACCACGCTTTCAGAAAGCAAAACTGATTTTACTCTGATATCCTTTAAATGGGTATTCAACAGCCAGTGGTTTTTTTTTTACAGGGAGAAGGAAACGATATGTGAGAAGCCCTCCCTGGCTTACCATGCTGAGCTGATTCCCCTCAGCCACTTGCCTGCTTGGGAGCTCTCCTGAAAAAGGAAACATAGTTTAAACAGTAGTTAAAATAATTATAACAATCATTATTTTAAATGAAGAAAACACCTGCATTGGTTCTGCTTTTTGTTGCAGGAGAGTATGGGGCTCTGCAGCTGGCTGGCTCTGAAGATGGCCAAGGGGAAGGAGGAGTTGACAAGGATTTAAAAGCTCTTGGAGGGGCTGGAGCTCTGAGCAGATCACTTTCAGAAATGTGGTGATGTGCAAGACCTATTTCACTTGCACGATGGCTTGTGCCACAACCAGGCTCTCACCAGCAACGGGCAGAGGGAAGGGAGGGGGTGAACCTTCCTCCCACCCCAGGACAGCTTGTCCAGGAGGACAGACTCATGCAGGGAACACCAAGTGAGCAGGAGCAATAGGGTATCAAAGATGAACATCTCCCAAGCCTGGGCTTGTCCAGACCAGCTCGTGAGGAGGAGATGACAACCAGCTCCCACAGAAGACAGAGTCTCAGAGCAGGCTCAGCCTTACCTCTTCTGTTCCTTCTGCCCTGCCACACCAAAAGGCCAATTATCGGCATGTAAAGAAACGTCGCGACCGCTAAGCCAAAGACGATACACAGGAGCAAGGTGAGTCCTGCACACACAAACATCAGAGAGGCACTCGTGAGCTGCCATCCCACTGTGCAGGGATGCATGGTGCCATTGTCTCGTTTCTGGGGAGGCAGTTCTTTTCCAACCCTGGGCTTCCAGACCCCGAACCACCCACAGCCCTGGGGTGCTGACAAAATCCTGTGGGAAGTGGCCTCCAAAAACTCATTTGAACTCAGCCAGGGTGGTGGCTGGAGCATCAGAGTGCCATCCCAGTGGCATAGCCTCTGATCCGCTGCTGCTTACCCATTTGCCAGTGGCTCCCACCCACTCACAGGAAAACATCAGGATGTATTTCCCCCCTTGCTGCTCCTCTCTTTCTCCCTCAGGACCCCTCCTGCCCCCCGTCCTTGCAGCCATGAGGCTGTGGGGACTTACCTGTACAGCTCTCCTTCATGGTCTGAGGTGGGCCACAGCCTGGAAGGCAGAAACACGAGTGAGAGACTGCCCAGAGGCTGAGGACACCCTGCTCCTCCCTCTGCTTTGAGGCAAGCACCTGGATCCCACGGCCCCAGCTGTCCCACTCCTGCCACTGCAGCTCCAGCCACCTCAGCGTTCAGCTGACGGGCCACGGCTGGAGGACCCAGCAGGTCCTATTTCAAGGACCCGATGGCCAAGCAGCTCTGTAGTGGGATGCATCTGCCAAAAGGGCCATGCTGGGTCAGGTCCTCCAGTGCCTGGGATGCTTTTGGGGGAAATGGTGCACAGGGGTACCGAGGAGAGCGTTGGTCATAGCATCCTTCTCTGCCCACTCATGACTCCCATGAAAACAGAAGCGGTGCCACTTACTGGGAACTGTCCCTTGTGAGCTGTTTCCAGTGTCTATCAAGTTTATTCCTGTGATGAGCACCGTACACCCACAAATTCCAGTGCTGACTTCATGTATGCCATGGCTTGTGAGATTGGTACAGTTTTCTCCCGGAGCCGTGATGTTGGTTTGGTTCTCCGTGTCCAGACCTGCAGGTTTGTACCACTTCACATGTACCATGAAATTCTCCAACCAAATCTTGAACTTGCACTCCATGGTGGTGTCTGACTCTTCTGGCTGGCTGGCTGACCCTGGAGGAAATAAAAATGTAAGTGATAAGTAAAATTTAAGTCATATATATGACCTTCCAGGGGTCATATCCCACTAGCACGTGTCACTCATGAAAGACACTGTGAAGTAACTGTCCTTTCCACAAGCAGCTGATGCTCTTTTCCAAATCCGGCTGCTCAACATTCCTCAACATTGAACACTGAAATGTTGCACGCTGATTAGTGCCATGCAGTGCCGTGCAGCACACAAGCATTTCTGTGTCTCAGAAAGGACTGAAAATGGGAGGATCAGGGGGAAGACACCTCCTCCTCCTCTGAGGAGCTAGGCAGAAGAGTCTTCTGTCACCCAAGCAGGATGTGTCACCAAGGCCACAGGCTCAGGCTCCACCATTTCATGGACAATGAGGTGGGATTTGGGGGCTAGCTGTAGGGAAATGATCAGCCCTAGAGAAGCAAAGCAAATGTAATAGACCCCACGCAGCCTCTCTGGCTTCATCCCATCCCCTAACGCTCACTCTGGAGCAATTCAGAATCCCTCTTGAAGCTCTGAGCTGAAGTCACTACACACCCCCTCAGCACAGCCCTCCCTCTCTTACCTCCCTCTTCCCCCTTCCTCAGTCCTTTGTCTCTGCTCCCATGGTGCTTGTATATCTTACCAGGTTTGTTGTATTCGAAAGGCTTGTTCTTAGACACGTTCCCCGTGTTCTCCAAGATGCATGTTCCTGTATAAGTTTTGTTCACATTGGTGAAGATGAGCTGGGAAGAAACTTTTTGCAACTCCACACCACCTTCGTTCTGCTCTTCTCCGTTGTTTTGGGTGGTATTAAAACACTTCAGCTCCCCAGCAGTGCTGCTTGAGCCCATCTGGAGCAGACACTGCAAGACGAGATCTAACGCTACTGACACATTGATCGTGGCTGAAATCTCATGAGTGAGTCCTGCTGAAAAGAAAAACAACGAAAAGCTATGGAGGATTGGGACTGTGTGCATCCTCCATGTGAAGCTGACCCCCCTTTGCAGTCATCAGGCTCATAAACATCTCTGTTTCTTTCCCCCCTCCCCCAACTGTTTTCTCTCCCTCCTGCTGAAGGTGATGCTGGTTCAAAGCCCTGGAGCCTGAAACTGGGTCCCCGTGGGCAGAGCCCACAGCCTGGGCACAGGCAATTGGGGGGGGGGACCCCCCTCTGCAAGGTACCTGACAAGGTGCTGGTGCAGAAGCAGGGGTTAGATGCTGCAGGAGGAGAAGGAAAACCAGCAGCAGCCACGTCCCAAACCTCCTATGGGAGAGTTCAGAGCCAGAGGTGAGGGCACAGAGGGACTCACCGGTGGACAGCCAGGCGAGGAGCAGCAGGGGCAGAAAGCCACCAGCCAGCCAGATCTCCATGCCGTCTTCCCGAGAGGCTGATGGCAAGACGCTGGGAGGGTCCTGTCTCTCCCTGCAGTGTGAGGGTCACTGCTCAGCCGGGGCAAGCTGCAGCCCTGCCAGGAGCTCACCTCCTCGCCGCTCAACCAGGCGGCTCTCTCTGTGCTCACAGACTTCCCCTCTCTTCCCCTTCTCTTGTTTCAGCCCGATTTTTATCTCACTTCTTTGCCGCTTGATTCCTCCTGTGGTTTCAGCCCAGACACATGCACTCAGCCCTGAGATGGACCCAAATAACACAGCCAAGCACTGCTGATGGCCATTTCCTGCTATTTTAGCTTGCAACCCAGTAGCTCCCGGTCGCTGGCACAGGCAGGCACAAAGAAAAGAGCTTTGCAGTGTCCTGCAGTACCACCTCCCCATGCCACCCGAGTCCTTTTTGTCTTACACCATGGAACAAACCCCTTGGAAGAAGTGATGCTGCCGTCACAGCAGGGTGATGGGGTGATGTCCAGCATGGTAGCTGAGCTCAGATGGGGGTCCACATGCCCTGCCAGCCCCCAGACACTGAAGACTGCTGTGGTTTGACACAGGGCTGGGCTTGGTCAGAGCTTTCTGGTTGCTCACGCATGGGATGTACAAGCTCTAGCCAGGCACAGACCCCTGCAGCCCCCTGCCCACTCCCTCTGGCTGTGAGCGCCCAGGTCCTGGCTCCTGCCCTGCGAGAATGGGGTGCTTCAGGCAGCTCCCCACATCCCCCTGCCACCTCCAGCGGAAGGGACACCAGGACAAGAATGTCCATCAGGCCAGACCCTGCCACCGAAGGGACGCAGGCAGCACAGGCAGCAGGCACAGGCCCCTCTGTGTTCCCAGCCTTTGTGGGTGCAGAGTCTCCTCTCCCCACAGGCTCTCCACTGCCGGCCACCACTCCTATGCTTTCATGATCAGAGCAAAACCTCCCACCTCCCATTTACTCCCCTTTAGTTTCCTGTCAGCATATTTTGTAATCACTCCCCTGTCCCATTTTGAATCTGGATCCAGCACACCCCCTTCTCCGAAGGCAGCACCCACACCGCTCCCCCTGGCCCTCCACCTCCTCCCATCCCTGTTGTCTCCATGTTTCCCCAGATGATGAAGTCCGAACTGAGCATGTGGGATGGGGGCCCACCACGACAGCCCTCCCTAAAGCGGAGACTGGGGAGCAGTATCCTACCGGGACCATCTACTATCACCAGTGAGCATGGTCCCAACACCACCTTCACCACAGCACGGGGAGCAGGAGAAAACGGCAGAGCCTGTCCCGCAGGGATGCTCCTGGGCCAAAGACTGAAGGAGGGTTGCAGAAAGCAAGTGAGGCTGAGAATTTGGGAACACTGGCGTTCCCCTGGGCTGATCCTGCACCCCTCTGCATGGTGGGTGTGCTCCCAAAGCCCCATGGGCACCTCTGCCAGGGAAAGGGCAGAGTCCTGGACACTTGGCTTTGGCCGCACCTCTCCGCACCCCAGGCCTCCCTCTGACCCCCCCATGCCAGGCACGCACAGCCCAGTCACGTATGTCTCCTGGGGGAAAGGGTGATCACTGGAGCTCTTCACCAGGCTGTGGGGCCTCCTGGCTGAAGCACAGCGAAGGTCTCACCTGGGAGCCCACCCACATGGGGAAACAGGCACATCAGCAGGATATTTGCTGATGAGAGGGTCATAAAACAAAATTCTTCTGCTACAAGATCCACATGAATGGAGGCTCTTTATCTCTTGCTCTCCCCTCTGGACTTCATCATCTCTTCCCACGCTCTTTCTGATGTTCAGTTCCTCTCCACACTCAAGTCTTCCTCTCCTCTTGCCTCATGACTGCACAACAACACATACTTGTTGCTTCCTTCCCCTTCATTTTCATTCTAGTTCTCAAGTCTGCTAGCACCAATGAAGCCGATAGAATGCAAGGTGAACTCCTTCACACTTTCCTCCCACCTCAGAGATGTTGGCACCGAGGATTCTGCAGCAGGCAATGCCTGTAGTCATCTCCCAAAGTCTCTGGTGCAGAAGATGGACAGGAGCCATCCTGCTCCATGAGTACTGCACATCAGCACAAGCCTTACCTAAATTGCCCTCAGCAAGCTGGATTCTCTGCTCAATTAAGGTAATTTTCTACATTCCAACTGGGGGGTAGGGGTGGGGAAAGAGGAAGATTGCTAACAGAGCTCAGTAAGGACAAGTCAAGGATAGCAAAACCCATGAGCCCTTCTCTTTTCATGCACAGCCTTCTCATGAACCTGCATGCATCTCTGCAGGACCAGGGCTCAGCAAGACCTTCTCCAGTGGGCAGTGCCTTTCCAGTTCCCAGCTGTGGTGCCAACAAGACTGAAGGTTAACATCTTACCTACTGCCGACTCCACAGAGCTCCTCTCCTACCAGAGCCCCTTCCAGCTCCACAGCAACATTTCATGATGGAAGGAGGAGAGCAGGAAATTACAGTGCTGTTAACAACAGAGGGTGCCCTGTACTGTCAGGGAGCTACACCATGCACTATGTAATATGTAAACCAAGACAGAGGCTGCAGTTTCTCAGCAGCTCCCTGCTCCTTTGCAGTGAATCAGGGAAATACAGAAGGTGTAAAACTTGCTCCCACCTGCCATTTCCTTCCCTTTAGTTTCCTGTCAGCATTTCCCGTAAACACCCCCCTGTCCCATTTTGAAGCTGGACCCAGCATCCTCCCTTCTCCGAAGGCGGCATCCCCCCAAACACACCCCTACCTTCTCCCATCCCCGTTGTCTCCAGGTTTCCTCAGACAATGGAGCCCAAAGTGAGCATGTGGGGCTGCTCGTGTTCTGCCACTGGGGTCTTCCTGTCCTGCAGCACCACGCAGCCTGTTGGGAGCAGGCAAGGAGCCTCCTGTGCCGTGCTGGGAGAGGATGAGGAGCACTGTGAGAAGGGCTGTCCTCAAGTGGAGCACGGCGCCTGGACAGGGGCTCACCTTTGAGTGTCATGCTGCTCTGCTCTCCCTAGTGTGAGAAACAAGTTTATGTATATTAAAAAAATGTTTTATTTGGGACAAAATCAGCGGAGCAAAGAATACAGCACTGGGTGCAGTCTGCCCCAGCAGGGGCTTCTTTTTATAGAGCACCCAGATTTCATTGGTTGAGCGAAAATGGTGGGTTTTCTCCTCTTTACACCTGCACAGTTCCTTTTTCTTGGTTTCTCCGAGACTGTCTTTCTCAGCACTTTTCCACTGTGTCACTACTTTTTATCACAAAACAGACAGCTGCTGAGCAGGGGAGGCAAGCATAATGTCATATGCAACCATTCGGTCCAAACATAAAACCAAACAAAGAACAACGCAACACAACCAAGTCAAGCAACAAGTCCACTCACTTTCCTTCCTCCCCCTTCTTCTTTGGCATTTACTGTTGGTCTCAGTGGTCCCCTGGGAGGCGGGGTGGTGGTGGGGGGTGAAGTCCAGGTTCCTCTTCATCAGTTCTTTGCTCAACCCTTCCCTGCTGGCTTCCATTCCCCCCCAGCCCCTCCATCCAAGTTCCTCTTTACATGATACCTAACCACAGACCACCCCCCATCCTCTCGCTTGCCCAACTCTCCACAATGCCCAACCACATGCCTAACTCGTGATCAAAAAAGCCTTGGCTGTTATAATTTTAGCAACACGAATTCAATAACCAGTTTAGCCAAACGCAATAAAAGTAACTGTTTCATTACTTCTGGTGAAAGCAAAATTCTTCCGTTACTTCTCACACCAGGGAATCTGAAAGTGCACCTTCAGTCGCTGAGGAGAATCCTGCCCTCAACCTGCTCTTCCTGAGCAACAGAGGCTCACGGTGGAACATGGAGCCCCTGAGACGAGGAACACCCATGAAATCTGACTGTGCGTGTTCTCTGGGTGGATGGAGAAGCTGGCGGGGCTCTGAAACCCCAGTCTCAGTACATCCCACCCGCAGCCCTCCCTGAGCTGGGCCGGGCAAGCACCAGCCCGCGGCCCGTCAGCAGAAGCGCGAGTGAAAGAGGCGGCTGTGGGGCTGGCGGGCACCCAGGTGAGAGGGAGCTGCGGCCCAGGCCCGTGTGTGCGGGGCTGCCCGAGGCAAGGCGCTGCGGGGGGGGTGGGGGGTAAGAGAAAGGGTGCTGGGCGCGGTGCTGGGGCCGCCCCTGGGGTGCTGGGCGCGGTGCCGGGCTCCCCGGTACGAGGGAGACGGGGACATACCGGGGAGGTCGGCATCGCTCCGAGGAGAGGTCGGGGAGGAAATCATCACAGACGCCGCGCCGACCTCCTACCGGCTACCAGCGCTGTCCGTCAGCCGAAATCCCGCCTCCCCGGCCCTGTCCGGCCGCGGGATAGGCGGCCCTCCACGCGGCGGGGGAAGCCGCGCCGGGCGCCGCCATTTTCGGAGCCGGTGCCCGGTGCGGCGGGGCGGGGCTGTGGCGCCTGCGCCTGCGCGGGCCGGGAGCGGGCGGCCGCGGCGGCAGCGCCCGGCGGGAGGATGCGCGGGGGGCGAGGCGGGGTAGGGCAGCGCCGGCGGCCCCCCCACCCTTGCCCGGCGGCAGGTAAGGGCGGCTCGGGGCGTCCCCCCGGCCCCGCTCCCCCGGCCCCGGCTCCGTCCGAGGGCGCTGAGCCGGGGGATGTCTCGGCGGGTCTCTCTCCGTGTGAGTCGGTGCCTTGGGGTGAGGGGAGGGGGAGGCCTGCCCGGTCCGGCCACCTGAGGTGAGGTGGGGGCCTTTCCCGCTCCAGCCCCGCGAGGCGAGGGCCTGCCCCGGCCAGTCCCGCGAGGGACCTGCGCACAAAGAGCAGCACCCCAAGCGCTGCACCCCCGCTCAGCGGAGAGCACCGTGGGCCGCGCCGGAGCCACCCCCCTGGGCTGCCCCGGTGGTAACGTGAGGGCCAGTTTGGTTCCGACGGTTTTCCCGGCGCTGTCGCCCCTGGCGCGGTCCTCACCGCCGCCTTTGGCCTCGGGCTGTACCTGCGGGAAGCGGCGGTGCCACCAGCGGGGCCGGGAGGGACAGAGCGCTGGGCCGGCCTCGTCTTCAGGTGTGGTGGGAGTTGCCGGAGGCTTTGGACTTGTGTATTATCGCCCAACCTGCTTCCGTTGAATTAAAAGCATGTTTAGGAAAGAAAGCACGCTGGTCTCTTTGACATCAGCACGTGAACCGTGGCCATACAGAGCTACAGGTCGATGTGTGTCAGAAGGCTGGATGAACAGTTTGGCAGGAAAAAATAACCTCGCGTATGAGGTGACCTCCAGCTTCTCAGGTGAAGTTCCCCTGGCTCTGTTTCTGCAGAGACCTTGCTGGCTTCCCAAGCGATGCCTGCAGTCTCTACACACGCTTCTGTCACCTCTGCTGGGGTCCTTACACAATGGACAGTTCTGGGGCAGCATCTGTTTTCACAGGAGGCCTCTGCAGTGCATTAACGTAACAGGTGTAAGGCCCCTGCTGCAAAGCAAAAATCTGAGTGGTTCCTGTGTTGTCAAAGATTATCACGCAACTTTAAGATCCGTGAGGATGTCACAACCAGTAGCAACTTTATTAATTGTACAGCCCTTGTTACTCGTCTTTGCAAACTCAAAAGCCATGACCCGCTGGATGAAATCAGTGCCCCTGGTGCTGGTGTGTTCCTCCACCATGTGCCTCACCTTCCTTGGAACCAAAATTGAACTTTTTTTGGATGAGCTGGAGAGGTATGAATCACTTTCTCCTTCTGTAGAGCCAGTGTTACCCTGACCAGTATCTTTCTGAACACAAGCTGTTATTCTTCTACTACCTTTGGCCATCTGTAATGGTCCACAATGGTTTCTGGGTGCTGTAGTCCTTGACTATACTATTTAGTTTTTGAGGCTTCTTCCTTCTGAACTCTCTGACTGCTTCTACATAGAATTGAATTGGATCTTGTAGGAATCGTCAGGTTTTTCATTGCACTGGGTCACATAAATACTTGTTGCTATGTATACCAAAAGAGTCAACCAGCAAACTCACCATGAAATTCAGCCAAAATTGAGACGTTTTGTCACCACAAAAAGGAATTGTGGCGAGGAACAAGATTAAAGAGCTCTAAGTGCTTCTATTTGCAAATTTAAGTTCAGAATGATGTTACAGGCATTGATTGTTTCATCTCTCACAGATCAGTCTCCTTTTTAATCTCCTGACGTTCAAGATACCTGTTTCAGTCTTGTTTTCACTTCCAGATAAAAGCCCTGCCTTTTGGTGTTTCTGTGAGAGGGTCTTCAGAAAAGTGTTCATTCCCGTCTTTGATTACCAGAGATACCAAGGCACAAGGATTTTAATTGCTGAAAGATTGGCTTATAAAAGGCTTTTCATGATTTAGGCAACTAGTTTGGTGAGACTTGTTTGAAGGTTTGAGGCTTGCTGGGTCCTAGAGTAAATATGTAGACATTGTACCTAATTCTAAGCTGGTGTCGGTTATAATTTCAAGTGTTTTTTTCTCAGAGCTGTTTCCACGCTCTGCTGAATTTATTTTTCACGACTTTTCAGCTCAGCTACTTGTGCTAGATCTGACTTCTGTGTACTTAGTGACCCTCAGTAGATTCCTTGAACTTGTCTAGTCTCCCTTTTGACTCCTGGTAAATGGCTAACGCCTCCAGTATCCTGTGACAAGGCATTTCAATGCTTACCAAAATTTGGTGCAAGGAGCCACATCCTTTAGATTGTTTTGATCTTGCCTTCTCTGAGCTCCATTTGATTTGCTCTTGTATTGTGAGAGACATTGAAAAATTAATTTTTCTCCATCCTAAGCCATTCAAGACTTTATTACCTTCTATGACGTCTTTTCCAAACAGGAATCTTTGCTTGCTTGGGTCTTCCTTATTTAGAGAATGTGTGCTTTTGATTACCTTTGTCTGCATCATTTCCAGCTCTGCTTGCCCCTCTTCCACCCTTAGAGGAGAAGTATCAGAAATGCGAGTAGAGCTCCAGAGAACGGTGCTCTGGGGACTTCTGTGGTGCCACAGTGCTGTTCTTTTAGGGTCTGTTCTTCGTGGACTGTTAATTACATCTGCCTCGCTCCTCAGCCGTGGCCTCATTCTGATACAGTTGGTTTTTAGATTGCTTCCCCAGGGTGGCCTAGGCTGGAATATCTCATCTACCAGCGCTTGAGTGTGTTTGTGGGAGGGTGGGGGGGTGTATCAATACGTACCCCTTTTCAAAAGCTCTTGTTGAACCTCCCGTTTTCAGCATTTACTCTAGTTCTGCCTGTGCCGCATACGCCCTGTGACTTGCCTGGTGCAAGGACTGTGTTTTCACTGCCCTTCAGCATCCCCATCCATCCCACTGGGGCTGTCCTGACAAACCAGGACCTCCCAGCTGGAGAAAGACTGGAGAGGGAATAAGAGGCTGCAAGTGGCTCTGAGGTGAGGGAAGAGACTCGTGCCCTCTGATCAGTGCCACTCTGCAGAGCCTGCTGCTCCGGTACTTGGGGGGTCCCCAGCCCTGCTGGGCCCCATAACTGTGCAAGCCGTGTCTTTGTACCCCAAGAGCGTGGCTGTCTTTCTAGAAGTCGTTGCTGAGGCTGGGTTGGCCAGTTCTTAGCTTGTTGTGGTACTAGTGGTGAGCTGATGTCCTTAAATTCTGGTATCATCAGGAGCCGGTCTCCAGGGTAGTAAATCTCTGGCTTTGGTGGGTTTGTGCCAATAGCTGCAGTGACAGTGATACAGTAGCACGTTATGTTTGAGGATAAGTGAGTTTAAAATTAATTCCACCTGACAGATTTTTATTTTTTTTTTTAAGAGGCAGTTGGATGGGAAACAGAAGAAAGTAAAACTTTAAATGAGCAGCTGTTACAGAAATCAGCTTATATGATTATCTGTAGCAGGAGTCTCCTATTGTGCAAGATGATGCTCTTTTTACTGCAAGCATTTTTTTCTTCTTCCAGCATATGAACTGCCAAATATAGGTGTGTGTGGACTTCCAACAGTTATACTTACTGTCCATCCAGTTGCAAGATTTTATTTTTGTTTGTGCCATTTATAGAAAACAAGCCTGAACACAAGCCATCCTTTCCGCCAGTGAATTACCCTTTTATGGAGAATAGTAAATATTTTCAAGTTCCTTTTGATACCATCCTTATTTGAGTGTTTTGCTAAATGTTTGATAAAGAGGAATTAATTCAAATTCAAATGAACTTTGTTCTTTATAAAGAAAGGCAATGACTGTATTACTACAAACCTAACATCACACAGAATAGGGAAAAAGCATACTGAATGAATTCAGTAAATATTTTGTAAGGTGTTTCATAGCATCTGTAAACATTTGTGTGTGTTTTGCAAAATAAATATTCACAACTGCTGCTGTTCTGTTTCCTAGTTTAGTGTCTATACTACAAAAATACCTAGAAATGCAGTTGGGGGTTGCAGTTTTGTTATGCTGGTCAGTGTAGGCACCCCCAAACTAACAAAGTGCTGGTTGCACACAATGCACTTGCACTGTGGGTAGTTTGAACTTGCACGATGATGCTTCCTGGTGCTGTGTCAGGATTTGCTTTCACACCTTGTAACTTAGCGTAAGTATTTTAGGATGGGGAGATGAGTAACCGTCTTTTTCCAGAATAGACTGTGATTCTTGTTGCTTGTGGGGATTTTTTTCCAAAGGTGTTGGACTGGTGTTGGTACCATTTCTCTTTTTAAACATGGTCTTTGCTTTTTCATTATAAGCTTCTGAAGCAAACTAAATTTGTCATGTCTATAAAATTAAGAAAACTTAAAAAAAAAAAAAAATCAAAAAGTCAACAGTGGGCGTAGTAGATAAGAATTCCAAATGGCACAGGACAAGAGCCAGATTGTGAGTTGCTGCAGTGTCACAGATTGAGGAGACTTCTGATGTCTCTCCTCGAGGTTGGTGCTCAGGTGAATGTTAAAGGCAGTTCAGCCAGTTGTGTCCAGAGACGTTTCTGAGACAAACTGGCAAGTAGGGGTCCAAAGTGATTAATTTACTTGGAAGTACTTAAAAGAACAAAAGAAGTGTGACTTAACCAAATGTTTGTGTATAGGGAATATAATAATTCTGTGCAAAACCCTGTGTACCTGGAGATTAAATAGCATGGGCAGAAGGAGATACTTTTAACTGTTCTAAGTAAAACTTAACTAAGCACAACTGACATAGAGAAGTGCCCGTTTCCTTTCTGAAAGCACTTTTCTGTGTATTTAAACACTGACATTATCTCTCCTTATAGCCTTCTCCTCCCTAGGCTAAACAAGCTCAGTGAATCCAGGCTTTCCCCACAGGACATGTTTTCTAGATGTTATCTGGAGTGGCTTAACTATTTGCTGTAAAATTGCTAAGCTCCGAGTAGTTGGTTTTGGTTTGTGTATTTAATTTGGAAGAAAGATTTATGTGCCCAAAAGCTTGCCTATTATTTCCAACTATCTCAGTCAGTCTAATAAAAGATACGACCTCATCTCACAAACCTTTATTACATGTAGAGAGTTACATCATCACAACTACAGCAGTGCTGCTCTTACTGCCGGTGTGATAGACTCTTGTGTTCCGTCCCCTTGACGCTTCCTGTCGCTCCCAGTTTGTGCCTTGTGTGCTCTGGTTTGTCCCAGCGTGCCCGTGTGTGTTTCTGTATGTGCGTCCTGAGTTTTGAAGCTCAGGAGATGCTCGTGACTTTGTCGAGCTGCTTTTTTTGCCATTCTTTTGCAATAGGATTGTTAGACTTGTGCCTTAATACTCTTTCTCTACAGATTGCAAGTTTGGGGGGGGTTCTGTTTTTTTCATTAGGTTCTTTGAAAATTTTGCATGTCGTATAAAGGATAGAAGCTAGCATTCAAGCTAGCTGCGTTTGATATCAAAATATGTCTGTTGTCGATACTGACGTGTAACTTCACACGTTTTAGGAGCTGTGGATGGAACAGAAAGCTGAGGAGCCCAACGTTTTATCAAAGGCCTACACGTAGATCCTGATGCTTAAATGAATGCAGAATGAAAATGCTTCCTGGAGTGGGTGTGTTTGGAACTGGCAGCACCGCCCGGGTACTGGTACCGTTGCTGAGAGCGGAAGGCTTCTCCATTGAAGCGCTTTGGGGCAAGACCGAAGAGGAAGCCAAACAGCTGGCGGAGGAGATGAACATCTCCTTCTACACGAGTCGGACTGACGATGTCTTGCTGCACCAGGATGTAGATTTGGTTTGCATCAATATCCCTCCACCGCTAACTCGGCAAATTGCTGTGAAGGCGCTAGGTATCTTTTTATCTTTGGAGTTGGACCAAGTATCCATAGCTCATTGGCAGGTTGAAATTTGAAGCTGTTACCCCAGCACAATTGTGGTTGCATGCAAATGCAGTGCTAAGGGTTTTGTGTGGGATTGGTAGCTCCAGCTGCAAGAAAGGTTACCTAGAATTTTTTGTAAAAATACTGTTTATAGCTGCTTATAGCTTTGCAAGACTTGAACCAATTGGGCTAAAATATCTCACATCTTCTTCAGACTGAACTTGTGGTGGGGAGGTTTTCATAAAAATGAGCTGGTTTAGAGATGATAATGATGAGGGCGTGAAATGTTTTTATGCCCATTTTAAAAACAAACAAACAAAAAAACCCCAAACAACTTAAGTTGCTTAATTAATTTCATATCTTCCCACGTTCTGCAATAGGAAACCCTAGATTTCCCTGGGGTTGGGGGGGGTTGTTCAGCTCTGCTTTTCGTTTTCCATGCAAATAAAACCAAACTTGAAAGTTAAAAGCCTTTGAAAAAATGTTTGCATGCACTCAGTAGAATCTTGTGAGTTAGGTCCTAAATTCTCTGCAGATGCTGTTCTTGGCCAGTGTGCTGTGACCCTGGCCACCGCCTGGAGCTCTCGTGGGACATCCATGTCTGTAGCTTGCTGGTCTGGTCCCCGGTGCAGACTTGCTGGAGAAATCCTCCCACCTGACTCAGGAGGGCAGATGCTGGGGGAGGAGATGTTGGGGACAGCAGGAGGAATCCAGCAAGATGGGCTGGGTGAAGGTGTCTGGAAGAGAAGGGATGACACCCTGAACTGGTTGGGCAGGGAGGTGGGAGCCAACTGCCTGGGCATCCTGACATTTCTTAATTCTCCAGCATGTGCCTTTGTAGTGTTAATGTCCTCTCGCATGGGTGTGAGTTTGCGTGTAATTCTGTAAATAACAAGTATGATATTTTTAGTGTGTGTACAGAAGACCCATATGAGTTAATTTTAGGATGGGTAGTATCTCAAACCACGTGACCCGGGGTGGTTTGTTGTTCTTAGCCTCTTTGCTCTAAAGTAATTTGTTTTGGAAGTAAACAACTCCCTGCACAAACATTTGCAGTGCCACTTAGATACGCAGAGAGAGATTTCAGGCTTTTTCTTTTTTTCTTTTTTTACATTGCTAGATTTGTTTGTTTGCCTTGTTAGAGTATTGTCCTTTGAACTTAAGGTATTCTGATTTTTGAGTATTTGAACTGTAAGTTAGAATTTATTTCCTTCAATATGCTAAAAGTTCTTTTAAACACTTGGTAGGTAATAAGCGTTTCACTAGTTCTTGTGGCTCTTGATGATCCAGTGGGCTAAAAGGAAAGGACTGAACCTTCTCTGGTGAATTATTAACTAAATAGGATTCAGATTCTTCCTTTGAAGGCTGAGAACCTGTAAGATGGCATTATCCAGAGGAGGAAAGGGGGGATAAGGCTGGTGCAGAATTACAGAGGTGATATGTATGCTTGACTGCAAGCATAGAGAAGTGGAAAGCTGAAAAAGCTAGGGAAATGAATGGATGAAGTAGTAAATGGTAGTTTATTCTTTACTTCTGTTTGTCTTGAAATGTTCTGATCTGCAAACCGATGCAGGCATCGCAGACCCAGTGCAATGCTGACCTTGTCTGTCAGCTTTCTAGGTTCATCCCAATGGTATCCATAGATCTGCTACTGAGTATGTTGCGACATGATTTTAAGCCAGTTGTTGGATGGTTTACTGTGATTGAGCATTCTGAAGGAACACAAAATCGGGGTAGGGCCGAAGATGGCAAGTACATTTTCTCTGAAAGTTCAGATTGACACAGTGATGTTTATAATTAGATAATTACTGGCTGTGAATTGTATATAATAGATTGGTGTTTACTAGCTGAGAGACTGAGCTTTAGGAAAGATCAGATGTGGTACAGTGATAATGGTCTTGTGTGATTTGTTTTATTGGGATTGGTTTGTTTGTTTGTTTTAAAGTGGTTACACTTTTATTACTTATTTGTATACTTTTTTTTATACTTTTTTTTTTCTTTTTTAATTTAAAAATGTGCTTACATTTTTATTTCTGGCAGAGAAGAGAGACCCAGTTTTACCAGGCAGTGCAATTTGGTTGCATAAGTTTCTTACTGACAGGCATCCATAAATAAGTCTAGGTACAACTTTGGCATGATGAGGACAAAGCAGTAACACTGGATTGAGTTCATGAACCAGACAGAACAGATCAAAGCCCAGAGGATAATTCAAATTAAAATCAGTGTAATCTTATAGTTTATCTCCACAAGAAGCAAAGCAAGAAGCTATGCTAAAATTTGTGCTTCCTTTGATCTCAGAGGAACTAAATTAATTTCTCAAAATGTCTGTGTTGTGGTTCATGTCCCACAGTTAAAATGCATCCACCTTTGCATTAGGTGAGTACAGAGCAGAGTTACCAGCTGGAGTGGAATGTAAAATATGTGATGTTTGTGTGTGAGGTGAAGTTCAGGGAGGTAGAACATGAGAAGTCCTCGGAGTAAAATTTCTTCAGGATGCTAAAGGTAATGCTGCTGCACCTACTGAGCCCAGCCATCACACAAATGGCTTGTGGAGTGGCTACAGAGGAACCTTTTTTTGTTTCTCTTGGTTTATAGTGGTTGACTACATCGTTTCAGACATCTTTGCAACATAGATTGTTTGACCCCCTGATTTTGTGGAGTCCCTACAAATTATAGCACATGTATGTTAATTATGAAGGAAGGAGCCAGAAAGGGCTCTATCACTGTGTTGTGTTGTGACAAATCCAGGCTTCCTGTTCTTGAAACAGGATGAACAAGCATGCTATGAGTGCTCTTTGCATATTGTGCTTCCCATCTCAGTAACAAGTAGCGTGGAGGTCTTTTCAAACCATAGGCAAACAAGGAATTAAATCAGGTGTGTTTTGGAATGAGCATTCATTCATTGGGAGGCTCCCAAAGCAAGTACGTCTGAAACTGGCCGTGTTTGGGCAGACTCCTCAGACACTCCCAGCTTCTTATGGTGGACAAAGCAGTGGTCTGGTTTGCTTCAACAGCAGTCAGTTGTACATCTTCCTCAGTGAAACCTTGGGTATCTGACATTATTCAGGGGAGTAAAGAACGTGCATGCTGATTGTGGAGAGAGTGACTCTTCACAGTTCGGGGTGCACCTCTCCCATCTTTTCATGCACGCACACCCTCCAAAGACCTTACCAGGCTGCCGGGTCCCTTCTCCTTCCTCCTGCCCCTGCTGGCATCCTCCCTACCAGGAGGAGGGAGTGGGCTGGGGCATCCTGACAATTGCTGGGGGCTGTGCCCCTCCCCAGTACCTGTGATGGCTTGGGGCAGCATCCACCAGGTAGCACCAGAAAGCAGTGAGTTTTCTGTGCTTGCATTTTATTAACCAGGGTTGTAAAATACTTCACATATGGCAAGTTTTGGATGTGGTGTGGCTGAGCAGCTGCAGGGGAAGCCGATGCCTCGGTGCTGATGGACAGTGTATGTCAGACTAGAGATGTAAGATTCCTTTAGGAGAAAATAGTTGAGTTTATTCTGCTGTCCAGTAAGTCTCAGCTCACCTGTTGGCTTTTGATTGCTTCCATAGGATGTGAACACACTTTAAATCCGGTATTTCATTGAGTGAAACCATGTTTTGGCTGTATTACGTTAATGAGAGTCAGAAGACTTCTGTTTAAATGCTTCTTTATTTACTAAAACGGGAGTTGGTTTGAAAATTCTTGGAATCTAGCAGGTACTTTTGCCCCTGAGCGTGGGAGTAGACCGTTTGTTTGAGGACTCCTGGTAATGGTGACCTTTGATTCTCTTTTTTTCCCTTGCCTCCTACTGCAGCAACCAGTTGAATAGCCATAAATAGGAGGACTTCATGCAGACGGGGTTCGCTCTGAGGTGTGCACAGAGAAAACCCCGAGGCGTGTTGCTAGGACAGTCTGCAGTGAGGTTCATTGTAGGCAGCAGAGCTACTGCTGCCCTAGCTCGCTGCCTCTGGGGTGGGGAGACCCAACTCCACAGCTCCACCTCCTTCCTTCCAGGCATGCAGCCCCTTCTGTGGGCTTAGACCCACCTGTGAGCTGATTTAACCCTCCCGCTGGGAAAGAGGAAGCTTTCTTTTCTAAACTGGACTCGGTGAGCTGAACTGGCTCGCAGAGGGCTCTGAGGAGCACCAGAGCTGTGTGGTGACTCTCATGTCTCCCATGGTCTGGTGAGGACCTCAACAGAAAATTCTGTAGCAGTGATTTAAGAAAACAATATGGTACAAAGTTCAGGTTATTCGTTATCAACATAATAGTAACAAGACGAGGGTTCCAAGTTGCTCTGCTTCGGAAAACAGAAGGCATGGTGGTTATGTTGGTAAGGGACTTGCTAGCCATCTCCAACTTGGCCCTTGTCCTTGCTACAAGGTCATCTCTGTGAGCCTGGGGACGGCCGGGGGGATGTCCCACTGAGGGCAGCCACAGGATTATCCCAGAGACGTTAGGGCATACCCAGGTCTCCGTCCTGGCACTCCAGCAGTGCTCGGTGGGCTGTGCCGAGCTGTCAGCGCGCCGTGCTGACTGCCAGCCCCCAAAAAAAGGTATCAGTCAGTTTTAGCTCCTCGAGCGGCTCAGCCCACGCTGGCAAGAAGAGCACGGCGCTGACGCAGGGCTGGGGGCGGGCGGGTGGGTGGCAGAACCAGGGCAGCCCGGCGTGGAACGGCTGTCCCCGCGTGGCAGGGGTGGGGATCTCTGGCTTGGCCCTCGCACCTCTCGGTCCCCCATCACGGGGACCCAGCCCCTTTGGCCTGGGCCCCTTTGGGCGCTGTCGGGCTGCTCGAAGAGCCAACTCGGGGCAATAACCTGCCAGAAAAAGAGCCCAGATGAGTGGATATTTCCAGGCTAGGTTTGTACTCCTGTGCCACCAGATACATGGCGGAGGGTGGTGGGGTTGTGCAGCGGGGAGAGCGGCACCAACAGAGCACTGACCGCAGAGCTGTACCCCATGGGTATGCAGATCAAGAGTCCTTTTATTTTCCACAAACTCTGAGAACTGCGGATCTGCTCAGGATGCTGTGAATTTCCTTTCACTTTTTCCTTCGGTTTGTATGTTACTGTAACGAGGCTTGAGATAAGTGCCATTTAAACAAGAAGGCAGATAATCCAGGCGCTGGAGTGTCTCAAGATGTTTCGGCCAGCCCTGCAGAATATTGAACAGAGCGTTGTGCCTCATCTCAGCAGCAGGATTGGGGACGGGGGAGTCAGAAATGGTCCCTGATGTAGGGGGTTACCAGTGGGCAGCCAGAGTGTTCCCAGGGAGTTTGACCTTACCCTTTGTTCCTTAAAGCTTCTGTTGACTCACACCTATTTGGGGGATTTCTTTGGACGAGGCCACTAAAAATTGTAGTCTTGTCATCTTCTGACTGGATTTTGTTTGTGTCTGTTAGAAATGTAGGTTCTGAGTTTTCTCTAGCTGTGGTTGTCCCCTTGCTGAGCTGGACACAGCAATGTGTCACAGGAGCTGGCTGGCCCCTGCCTTGCTCAGATGGTTCCCAAAACGCTTGCTCAGCACAGCCAGGGACTGGAGTGCTGAGAGCAGGAGCTGCAGTGTGGGATCTGGCTTCTCCTTGTGCAAGAGGCTGATCGAAGCACTTGTGCTGGTACCTTCTCATCGGGGAGTTGATTAAAAGCTGTTCTGAGCAGGGAGCGCAGTCTGTGCCTGGGTACAGAGGAGCTTTCAGAGAGGTGTGGCGATTCCTGCAATTCTTGGACAGAAACTGTGCTGGGATGTGACTGACCTTCGGGTCTGGCATCACCAGTTAATGTCTGGAGACTTCTAGGTATACCCCTGCTTGTTATAGTGACCAATGTTTAGATAAGTATTTTATCAGAACAGACGTATATGGAAAAGTTAAACCATGCCATGAGAAAAGGGTGAAGATCGGGGAGGAAGAGAGAATACCAGCAAAGCACCAAATGTAGGAATTTGATTGAAGCTTGCACTGGGATGCTCTTTTGTATTACTTTTTTTTTTTTTTTTTTTTTTAACTTTAAAGCAGAAATAAATAAATTATTGACTGCCCACGTTGATTCAGGCTGAGCACAAGATAAAGTGCATCAGCAGGAATGAAAACGCAGTGGCTCAGCTTGCGAGTGCAGCTCTCATCCGTGTAACTCGCTGCCACCTTGGCGGTCTTACTGCACAAGTAGGCTGTACACGCAGACCAAAATGTTTTGCTTTCCAATGAGCGATGCTTTTAAAACAATCCACCTCCCGAAACATCATTTCTAATTCTTGTGTACTGTAAACAGGCCACTAATTATCTTGTGTGTCCCATTTCTAGTCATCTATTTAAAATAATAAATTCATAGTGATGGTGAAGTACAGAGTGAAAATCCAATCTCCCCTTCACTCACCTCTTCCCTGCATGCTATGTGACTTTTTCTTTTTTTTTTCCCTCTGGCTATATAGGCATTCAAATAATTCTATAGCTACAATGTGCAAATTGTGTCTTGTTTTGATGTCATGTGATGCCATTTATCTTTCGTGATGTAAAAACTCGCTCTTTGTTTGGAGCCTCTCTCTGTGGGAGTTTGTCACCTCTGCAACCTGAGCATCTTGAAAGCAGCTTTGAGCCTGCTGCACCTGGCTTTCCTATTTTAGTTCCCAGACCTTTGCGTTTGAGATTGCGGCAGGAAAACCTGACTCTTAAAACCCCCACTTCTTGCCAAGCTTTAGGGCATCTGAGCATATTTTGCTTGTGTGTGCTATGTTTGGGTTTTTTGTTGGTTTTTTTCATTTGTGCTGCAGGAATAGGGAAGAACGTGATCTGTGAGAAAGCTGCTACCTCTGTGGATGCCTTCAGGATGGTCACAGCTGCCAGGTATTACCCCAAGCTGATGAGCATTGTTGGCAATGTTCTCCGTTTCTTGCCCGCCTTTGTGAAGATGAAGCAGTTGATAGAAGAACACTATGTGGGCAACGTGATGATCTGCGACGTGCGAGTTTATGGGGGAAGCCTGCTCAGCCACAAATACAACTGGATCTGTGACGAGCTGATGGGAGGAGGTGGTCTGCATACGATGGGAACCTACATTATCGACCTCCTAACACACCTCGTCAGCAGGAGAGCAGAGAAGGTCCATGGTTTGCTCAAGACTTTTGTGAAGCAGAACACAGCTATAAGCGGGATCCGCCACGTCACTAGCGATGACTTCTGCTTCTTCCAGATGCTCATGAGCGAGGGTGTCTGTTGCACTGTGACTCTCAACTTCAACATGCCTGGATCGTTCATCCATGAAGTCATGATTGTTGGGTCTGCCGGTCGCCTCATAGCTCGCGGGACAGACTTGTATGGGCAGAAAAACACTGCGCTCCAAGAAGAACTACTGTTTACAGACTCTCTGACTGTCAACAAAGGCCTTTTGGATAAAGGGTTTAAAGACATCCCGCTGCTTTACCTAAAAGGAATGGTGTACATGGTGCAAGCACTGCGGCAGTCTTTCCAAGACCAGGAAGACCGTCGGACGTGGGATCATAAACCTGTCTCTATGGCAGCCTCTTTCGAAGACGGTCTGTACATGCAAAGTGTAGTAGAGGCCATCAAGAAATCCAGCAGGTCAGGGGAGTGGGAGGCTGTGGAGGTGATGACTGAGGAACCAGATGCCAATCAAAACCTGTGCGAGGCGCTTCAAAGAAATAATTTATGAACATTCCTGCTTTGGAAGATAGGACGATTAACACTTCTGGCTGTAATGTAAAAAAGGTCTCTGTTTTTAAGATATGTAGATTCTTATTTAATAACCTGGGTTCCTTGTTTTTTTTAAACATGTAAAATACGTCATGTTCTGACAGAAACTGTTCTGATTTAAATTGTTTAAAAGAGTTTTAAATGTTTCCATTTTTGCAAACATTTAATTTTTGTCTTGAAGACTGGTAGGAAAACTTGAATTGCCCTTTGCACTTGCAATAGATGAAGTGAAGCATGGGATCTCTGCCATTGCATGGCTTGGAAATGGGACACAACCCCTGTTGCACAGGTTGCTTATTTTAACCCTTTTAACGTGAGAGCATGCAGAGCAAGATCAGGGAGTGTCTGTTGTTCAGATGCCTTTTCCTTCTCCCTTGGAGACTGATTTAAGTTTTACTCCTCAGCTTGTAAAATTTTATAAAAGAGTTTAGTGATGTAACAGGTCTCTAAACTCCTATAGGCCAAAACGTAGAAGGAACAGATTAAAGTTTGTAACGTAAGGATCAGCCTGTTGGCTTCCTGCATGTGGCAAATGTCTTTCAAATTCATTTGAACTGGCATTTGGTTTAAATGATACTATGAATTCTCTGTTGATGGTGTCTTGGCAGGAAAATCATCAGGCAGTCTGTGACGATTTTTATTGTTCTTTGGTATCTGTAGACATTATTCCTTCCATTCAAGAGGCTGCCTGCATCCAGCAGCTTCTTGCCATAAGCTCTGTGCCCGTCAGTTGTGTTTACTGCCTGGCAGCACCAGTGCCGTGTCTGCGGGGCCACGTTCTCGTTCCTGTGACTGTTAACAAATGCCTCACAGGGTCGTGGGATTTCCACGGTGTCGTGGGTAAGGAAGCTGTACAGCATTAACCTTCCAGGGACCTGGAGATGGAGGTGAGGAGGTATTTCCTACTTCTTGCAGCACTCTTAACGTGCTGGCCGGGTAACTGTCACACTACACACATCCTGATAGTTGAGAGAATGGGGACTGAACTGTCATGGGTAAGTCTGCTCTTGATCTCAAACACTGGATATTAACCCTCTGGCCCTGCCCATCCTCACACCCTCCTGCAGCTTGTGTCCAGGGGAGAAATCTGTTGGCAGGTCATGGGTGGAAGTTCATTGCATTTGAGAAGTGTTTCTCTCTGCGGCAGGTATGCAGAAGGGATAATCCAATTTTACTACATTTATTTTGTGTACTTGAAAGCTTTTTTTTTTAATGTATTTCCCACAAAGTTGTAACCCTTTGTATTTATGTATATTAACATGCAAACTGCTGTTTCATAAGCTGGCCCTTCCTGAAAGTTACCTTGTTTTCTACAGAAATAAAAAGTTGTGTTTGTTGAGGGCATTCTTTATGCGGCTGTGTGCTTGTGTTTGATTTGGTCAAGCTGAAACTATCCAAATAAATGTGAACAGGAGACTTACACCTGGGGCTCAGTACCTGTTGAGTTCTTCCCTGCTTCTGTGCTGTTTTGCTGCCGGCTGGGTAGCTTGGGTGTGGAAGAAGCTCAGTGATATCTATCAATATAGCTCCGTGCTGTCCTAGCAAGTGTCGTCCACTTATCACCAAGGGAAAGTGAGTCTCACCAGAAGATCTAGTCCCCGCGTCTTTGCTGTTTCCCTCAGACTACAGCTGTTGAACAGCTGGGTTTGGAGATCCTCTTGCCTAACTTGGACTTACCATGTCAACTTTTGTGATTAAAAGATCTTTATTTTTTTCTGCCTGACTCACAGTAGAAATTGCTGGAAGACATCAACTAAGAAGCAAAATCCCCGTAGTATTGGTGGGACCACTTCCTTTGCTCAGTGTGTAAATCCAGGTATTTACCTTTGGGTATTTACTTTCAGCACAGAAACAAGTCTACTGCTATGCTGTTCTAAAGGGTAGGAGCGTGGCTGCTCCTGTGCTCTGTGCAATCTCATTTCTATTGTGAGCTGGGTGAAGAACACAAATGGTTGAAATCTATTCACTGTTCCCAGGTGGAGCAGTGAGAGCTGCATCTCTGCAAACCTTCCTTTACAAGTAGGGGCCTGGTGTTCCTGCCACAGCTCTGAGTGTCTCATGTCTGTGTGCTATGTAAAGCAGGTGAGATAATGTCTCCTGAGCTCACCTGGGAGTCGCTGCCTTCATTCAGGCAGGACAGCTCTGGCTGATTTCATGCCAGTGTTGGATGTTTTGAAGCTGTCCTCCAACTGAGAACCTTCCTCTGTGCCTTCGTCAGCGTGTTTGTAGTGGGTGGAAAACCCCGAAGTGCAACTCCTTCTCCGGGAGAAGGGAGCACAAAACATTTCCCGACGATCCCAACAAAGGAAGGAGGGTGCCGAGATGTGGAGACCTGGCCGCAGAAGCATACAGAGGGGTGAAACGGGTTTCTCAGAGGCTGGCTACGGCCTCCAGCTGCCCTGCGCGGGTGGGGTGGGATGGTGGCCAAAGGAAGGAGCACTCCTTCGGCCGAGGGGGGTCCCTGCAGTGAGGTCTAGGTTCCCCCCTGCACAGAGCCATCGCCAGCAGCTGGTCCCCAGCCTCCTGCCTTTCACAGGCGAGGAAGGAACGACAGCACATGCATCCTAAGGCCATTGTCGATTTTATAATGAAAAAAGGCCCTTTTTTGTTGTTTTGTTTTGTTTTTTTTTTTTCCCCGAGCAAATCAGGTTCTCTGCAACCAGGAAAAAAACCCAAAACAATAAGCCCACAGCTGTTTGTATGGGCCGGGTGATGATTACCGCTCTGCAAGTCAGGCTCTAGTAGCCAAACGGGAGGCACAAAGCTGGCTATTGATACTGAGGAAAGAGCAGTGGCACCAGTTGAGCTGCATATCGGAGCATCCTATCAATGTCAAGCTGCATGGATTTGTCGCCTCCTTCCGGGTCAGGGATCTCGGGAGCGCTGCTGGCCCGGGTATCTGCAAGAGGAGCGAGTGCATCAACGGCCCAGCCGCCTCCTCGGAGACAGGCCGAGTATCTGCCCCGGTAGGATGCCAGGTCCCAGCAGCGTGGGGCGGGTGGCAGCCCTGGGTCTCCCTCCTGACCTCCCGCTTGGAGGAGGCCTGTCACCAGCTCCAGCTCAGGCTGGCCACGGCTTTGTCCCACCAAGTCTTGGAAAACAACTCGGGAACATGGAGACTGTGGAGTGAACTGAAGAGTGCTGTCCCAGGGGGACAGGTCCTGCTCTGTTTGGCTCAGCCACCTCAGAGCTTCAAGAGAAAACCTAAGGGCAGAGCTGCTGCAAATGGTGACCCAGAGGCATCCAACCTGCTTCTCTAAAAGCTAGGGGCAAGGGTAGAAGAAATAGGATAAAGTGACAAAACCTGCACAGGCAAGAGCAAAGCCTCCCTTTCTCGGGGGGGGATGAGCTATAGGGACCAGCAGGTCACTGGCAGGCCAAGGCCAGCTCACTGGGTGACACAGGAGCTGGGTAAACCTTGTTGGAGCTTACCCTCCTGCTGTGGAGCAGCTGCCTTCCTGGGGGCTGCAGGGACCTGGCTTGGCTGTGCCAGCCCTGGGACTTGATCATCTGCTGATGGGTGCATCAGCTCCGGCGTCTCAAAGTTGATGTACTGGTACAAGGGTCGCAGACGTGGCAGTTGTCCTGCAGAGGTACAAGAAAAGACCAGTGCTGACACCCCCTTCCCTGCCAGGGCTTTGCTGTAGCTCACAGGCTGCAGCAGCCCTGGGAGGAGAGAAAGAATATTTCCCCTCCCAGGAGGGGAGCTGGGGGCTGCAGTGGGAAGCAGATGCCGTTGAGTTGAGGCTGCCTGGTGGGCTAAAAGCCAGGGATACACGGCCACATCCCAGAGACAAAACAGCAGCTGGAAGGAAGAGCCAGGGTGAGCCTGCCTGGGCATCACAGTGCCCGGCTGAAAACTCACCAGTGGCAGAGCCCCCACCACCACCCAAGCCACGGGGATGTCTGGGTGAAGCAGAAGGGCTGGGGACCACCCAGTTGTCCTACGGATCCAGCTTCAGACCAGCATCATTCCTGAGACAAGCCAAGTCACAGCACACATGGTGCCAGCCCAGCCTGGCTGCTGCATCTGCAGCCACCAGCCTTGCTCACTCAGCGTGTCCTGGGACGTGGCCCTGGGGGGAGGCCGCAGGCTCCTCACACGTCTCTTTTTCTTCCTTTTCTTCTGCTGCTTGGCAGAGAGGCCAGCATCCCCTCCAAGGGAGCCCAGCTCTTTGGCAGTGCGATGTGACCTCTGGAAATTGGGGTGCTGGAACAGGAGCCCTTGTGAGTTGACCCTGTGGGAGAAAAACCAGCTGTGGGGCATGGCCAGCTCGGGGTCCAGCTGACCATGGGCCATGGAGCCCCGCGGCAGCTCCGTGCCCTGGTGCAGGAGCCGTGTCCAAGCCCAGCCCTCACCCTCGCTCTGTGCCTGTGCTACGGGGCAGCCACGCCTGGGGCTGGCCCGCACGTCGCTGCTCCTGCCCTGGCCGCGCTGACTCAGCTCCCTGGCTGGACTTGGACACGGCTGGTGGTCACTGACACTGGCTGATGGATGGCTCAGGGCTACTGCATTGCCAGAGCTGCTATTTCCCTTCCCTCTGTGAGCCCCACAACTCTTCGGGTTTCTCCCTTTCCGCACTTTTCTTGTTTGGCTGCTCTTTTAAACTCTAAGCAACTCCGCAATTTACGACAAACTGAGCTCCTTGATTCTCAACAAAATAAAAAACAAATCAGGACAATCCACAAGCAACAAATCCTGGATACTAATATTTTTGATCCTATGCTCACCCCTCCCTCCCAACATTGTTTCACCCTCGTGCAACGCAGCCCACCTGGGGCAGCCCCAGGTCTTGCTCCTAACACGGTGATCCTGACCGTGTTGCAGCAGGACGTTGGCTCATGAAGGAGACGTGGTGACTTACTTTGGCCCCTTGAGTTTGAAACCGTGGGCTAGCAGCCAGGCCTGCAGCACTGCGACACAGCCGAGATCCGCCAGCTCTGGGAAGAGCTCTTTGTTCTTCCCCATCTCCTCCTCGTACAGCTCGGCATGGATGAGGGCACCTCGCCCATCCTTGGACCACTGCGGCGGACACGAGGGACAGCACTGACAAGTGACACTCCTGTCCTCCCAGTCCCTGCACCTCAGGCCCTGGCGGGGATGACACTGCCACTGTGGCTGGGACCCTTTGCTGGCCATTAATAACCACCCAGATTCAGGGTTTTACACCCAACATGGCCCCAAGGTCTTGGAGGTAAGCCCGGCTGGCTGGTGAGCAGGACAACCCGTGTTGCCGCAGTGGCTATCTATGGTAGGTGGGTCCGTGGGGCTGGGTGGCCCCACAAATCCTGCTGGCCCCCACTGGGGCCTGGTTGCCAGCCTGCCCTCCCCTCACTCACCGTGGCACCATCAGGCCCCAGGCAGCAGCTGGGAACACCCTTGAGCAGGGCAGAAAACTGCTCTCCAAGAATTCGGCTGGAAATTTTTCAGTTGCCATTTCATCCAGCTTAACTAGAAACTCACAGATTTGGGGTCATTCACTCTCAGTTTGAGAAAGACCTGGGAGTAACATCACGCCTTTTGTTTCTGGGGAGCAGACCCTGCCCCAGGGACATCCACCCTCTGCTAAAAGGAGATTTTCCCGTTCCTTCTCCCTCCCCAAATTTTGGCACGCGTCGGGACCCTCTGCTCTCGCACAAGGCTTGCACAGGGGCAAGTGCCATGCCCATGGCACTGGGGAACAAAGCCTGCGTCCATTGCAATTCCCATGTCCAATGCAGCGTCAGCCTTCACCTCCAAAGCTTTGATGTCCGGGTTCTCCAGGGCTGCAGACAGCTGAGCAAGGATGTGCCCAGGCTCGCGGCCACCGTGCTGCCCCTCTTCGGGGCTCCTCGACAGGGCAGGAGGCTCCGGCACTGGCACCAGGACTGACATGGCAGATGCTCTAAGGCGCTGGTGGGGGCTGCGTGCAGACCAATATCTCCATGAGTGTTTGGTTTGGCATGGGGGCTCACCCCAGTGCCCGGCGCTCAGCCCAGTCAGGCCACGGCGAGCCCCAGCTGCAAGGACACAGGCACCGGTTCCCCCTCCAAGCCCCGGATCCAGGTGGCTGCTTTGAAGGGGCTGAGCTCTGCCCAGCACAAGAGCCCCACGAGATGCTCCAAAGCCATCCTAGGAGCTCTCCTGATACACCTGGGGATGCAGGGAGGTGAAAACCTCCCAACGCATCAGGTGCTGGAGCTCCCCACCCCACCCTGAGCTGCCAGAAGACCCCAACCACCCCAGCACAGCTTGCAGCTCTTCCTTGAACCTCCTTCAAGCCAACCATCGGCACCTGGCTGAAGCCTTGGCACTGCCTCTCCTTCCACTGGGAATGAGAGGGGACGGTTTGCCTGTTAAACAGGCACCCAAACTCGATTTCACCATGGTTTCCACTGACTAACCGCAACCCTGAGGGGCTGCAGGCATCAGTTACCCGCCCTGAGCATCTCACCACTGGTCCCCACATGCGCCGGCTTCTCTTTCCAGACACAAAACCTCCAGCAAAAAGGCCCCACGCCCAAAAGGCAGCGTGGGGAGGACTGGCACAGGCCGCTGAAAGCCACAAAAGCCAGCTGTGAGTGTCTTAAGCCACGGTAACGGGACAAGCGGTGACACTTGGAACCTGTCCTCCCCACCTCTCCCCTTCAAGCCTCCGCCGGGGGCTCAGCTCTGGAGGTGGGTTTGGAGGTGCCAGTTGGGCAGGAGATTCCTGAAGACCGTTAACCCCCGTGGGGGACGCAGCGGCAATAGGGCCCCCCTAGATCTGGGCTCTTGGGTGCGAAGGGAGATGGAGAGACCGGAGAGAGCCCAGGGGATGCTCCCCGGCACCTGGGGGGACATAGAGGAGCTGGGCCAAAGGGGCTGGCTGCGGCGGGGACACAGGTTCAGGGGTCCCGGGGGTGCTGCAGCCCGAGGAGGGGTCGCCAGGAGGTGGGGACCCTCAGTCCTCGGGGACAGCAGGGCTCGGTGTGACACGGCCCTCACTGCAGAGCGAGCCCGGCTCGGGGCCGTCCTGCCCGAGCAGCTCCGGTGCCCTGTGCCCGCCCGCTGCGGATCGCCCTCCCGTCCCGCCGCCGCGCCCGCCCGCGGGGAGAACCAGCGGAGAACGCGGCTGAGCTGCGGGAGCGCCCCGGCCCCGGCCCCGGCCCCGGCCCCGGCCCCTCCCGGCGGAAGCGGCGGCGCTGGGCCTTCGGCTCCCGGCGGGCCGACCCACTCCAGGCCCCGGCTGCGGCCTCCGCGGCCCGGCGTTGGGCCCGGCCGCCCCGGCCCCTCGGGAGAACTTCCCCGCGGCCTCCTCGGTGAGTGCGCTCGGGGGGGGGGTCGGGGGGGTCGGGGGGATCCCTCACGGGCCCCGCTGCCCTGGCCCGCGGGGAGCCGGGCTGGGAGATGCCGGAGCAGGGGCTTGGGGGCCGCCGTGCCCCTTCCGCGGGCAGCGGCCCCGGCACAGCGCAGCCCCGGGAAAGGGGGTTCAGGCCCTGCAGACAGCCCGGCTCCCGCACCCCCGGCGCTGCGCTGCTGCCGGCGCTTTTCCTGCCCACCCGCTTCCCCGGCGCGCGGGGAACGGCAGGAGCCAGGGAGGGGTTTTCACGGGTATCCCGCGTTTTTCAGTGGGGCCTTGGGTCTCCGCATGTGCCCCCAAACGGGCTTTGTATCGATTTCCCGTGACAGCACAGCCAGAGGAGGCTGCAAACCGCAACACAAGCTCCAGTCTCCATTGCTGGACCCGGTGTTGCACATCAGGTCCTGTAAACTCAGCACCTGGCTCATCCATGCATCGGAGAGGAATCGCACGCGTTACGATGAGGCCTCTCTTGTGTCGTCCTTCCTTCCTTGCTCTCCCGAGGGAGGACTTGGCTGCAGCTCTGCAGTAACCGCATCAGTCTCTGCCCCACTTCCAGTGCCGAGCACGGCCCCCATTCACCTCCTGCTCGAGGCCGCTGGTGCAGGACACGTCTGTGACTCCTTGGGCAGACTGTACAGGCTGGCTTTGTTCCCAAAGGGCTGTTGGTGGACACAAGCTCGGCTCCTAGGGAACACATGCCAGTGTCACACTTGGCCGTACCTGTCCCTCTGTTTTCAGAGGAACAAAAGAAAAAATGGGCCGTGGGGAAGAGCTGGTGGTACCTGAGGGAACCTGCATGGGGAATAGTATTAAAAGGAGAATATTAATCTCCCCACTTGCAGTCTGCAAGGGGAAAGCATAGGCAAGGACTAACATCACTGGGTAGGTTCACAGCACATTGACTTCATTTCCTGACCCCTGATTCTGCAGGAGGTATGGTCCCAGAGCCATGTGCCACCCTATTCTGGTGCCCTCAGGCCCAGAGGTTATCCTGGTGCTACTTTCTATTTCAGCAAAAACTCCTGGGGAAGGAAGCAAACAGCCAAGACTAGCTGCACAGAGACTAGCCCTTTGATTTGCTGCAGATGACTTGTTCTGCTTATCACAGTTTACCACAGCTGTGGGTTTTTGTTTTTGTTTTTGTTTTTGTTTTTTTTTCCCATGCTTTCTGCAGAGGTTGGCTTATAAAGGCATGAAGCTGGACCCGCTTCAGCTCTGTGTGTGGTAGCGGCTTCCTGGCCAGGGACCGAGGCACAGTGCAAATGTGATCTGTAGAGAAGAGGTAATGCTTCAAAGTCAGATGCAGCAGGTTCAAGGTAGTGAAAAACACCTGGCACAGCCTTGTCTGCTCCCATGTTTTGTAGTTGCCTTAACTACAATGTCAGAAACAAGCCACAAAAGGAAGCTGTGGTTCATGCGGGCTCTGAAAGATCTCGGTTTACCAGGGGGATAAGTACCATTTTTACCACTTGGTAAGCTGGGGCAGAGGGCACAGGGAGTTGAATTAATGGTTGCTAAACATGCAGGGACACTCTGGGAGAGGTAGGGCTGGAGCCTGCATTGCTTGAATCCCAGACCAGGCTTAAGCTGTGGTCCTGGTGAGGAAGTGAGCAGCCGGCCGGGCTCAGACTGGGTGAGTAGGCAATGCTAAAGTCGTTGGGTTACTCTGGCAACTGCCCTGCGCCTCCTGTAGCTGTGCAGGGCAGGGAATGGCGTTGGTGCAGCCCTGTGGGTAGGAGCAGCGTTGGTGCAGCCCTGTGGGTAGGAGCAGCGTTGCCGCTTCCCTAGCAAGCTCTGCAGTCTGGCAGGGGGTTAAGAAGAGAGAGGAGTTGCACGGATACATATCTGTTTACCTGGACTTAACTGGGCTGCTTTTGCAGAGGCTGCCTGCGTCTCATAGCATGTGAATCCTCTAAATAGAGTCTGTCTGGTGGCAACAAGTCGGATACTGTGTTCTTGATGTTTAGGTTTCTAACATGGTGATAGAGAAGATGCTTTCCTGGGCGCAAATTAGACAGTGCGACTGAGCCAGCGATCAGGTCACTGCTGAAAAGGGCTGGCCCTGTTCCCTCTTCTTCCCTCCTCTGCATTGATAAACACATGCTCCTGCTGTGTTTCCCTTGTGCTTGGTCCAGTGCTTCTCTGATCCCCCCAAAGAGGTAAGAGCCAGGTTACTTTTGGACAGAAGTTTAAATGGGCAGAAAACTAACCCAGCAAAAAAAGCGACTTGTTTCATGCAGGCGTAGTGATTTAAGTCGTCTCAGCACAGGACTGTGCACTACAGAGCTGTTACAAGAGATGGAGCAGAATGGTGGGAGTGGAGGTGGAGAAGGTCCACACATCCCCTTTTGCCAGAAGTGAACCAGGAGGTTCTCTCACTTGTGTCCCCCCAAATAACACCCTTGGTCGGCAGGAGCAGAGCAGCAGCTTGGGAAGTCTGTGCCGATCATTGGTAACTGGGGCTTGGCTGCTGCTCCTCGGGGCTGGGAGACATGCTGGGGGCTTGTGTCCCATGTAGATGAGTTCGCTGTGGGTACCTAGATAGGCAAGATGCTTACTATTGTAATGAGGTTGTCTGATCTTGTAAGATCCCAATCCAGAGGTGATGTGACTTGCAAATCAGGGAGTGGGTGTCATTTGAAAATTCCCTACAGCAGGGCAGGGTGCTCTTGGGATGTGAAATGTGACTTGTGTGAAGGTATAAAATGAGCTTTCCATCCCCCGCCTCCCATCAGCTTGCCTTTCCATCTTCAATTCCCTGCACTAATTGTCTGATCTTTTACAGGTCTTGATTTCAGCCTGTCATTTTGTGGGTAAATTACTGGGTTTGAGGTGAGTTCAGATTGAGATCAGATGTGAATTTCAAGGCCAGTAGCTGTTCTGGAGTGATCTCATGGTGAACACTCTTTTTTTTTTTTTTTTTTCTCTAGAATAACAGAGCCTGTTCTGGCTTAGTTGGAGCCATTATCAAGGAGATTAAATAATACCAAGACAGTGTCCTTTTATCTCAGGCTGAGAGTCTGTGTCTGCTCTTCAAAAATAGCTTTTCCAGAGTAGCTAGATACAGACTGTAGATGCATGCTGGTGTTCAGTATTCAGCATTGCTTACATTGCCTCTGCAGTTGTGTCTGGGAGATGAATAACAGCTTTTTGCTAATGGGTCTCATGTCAACAGGGGTGATTTAGCAAGGCAGACTGCAGTGCATTAGTTGCTATGACTCAGACTCACTCAGCCTTGCACGAATCGTTTATCGGTTTATAAATTAAACTGCAGATGCTGTGTCCTGTCAGTGCTGGCATGCTGAAGATCCTGAAAGAGGTTCTTCCCGTAGAGTTGTCTTGGAAATCTTTAAATTACTGCCTTGGGAGTCAGGGCATGCAGGTTGTAGCCCCAGGTCTTGCAGCAGTGACTGCAGCCAAGCTGCCCTGGCGCCTGTCAAAATCATGGCGTGACTCCAGTGAGGTATCGAGGCTCACGTGGCATCTGTCAAAAGCTCACCAACAGTCTGTGCCTGTTGGTGTGGCATCCTGCATCCTCGTTTTCTGAGCAGGGAGCAGGTCCCTCAAGTTTCTTGTAAGCAATAAGGTGCTGTCCGTGTGATCTTGGCAAGCATTGCAGGGCAATAGATGCTGGATGCTCCCGTGCTGGAAGGATCTGTGCTCGGCCTGTCATAGGGAGGAGAGGGGCAGCAGAGACCAGTGTGGGACAGGACGCGGATTTGCAGATCTGTGCTGGTCCCTGTTGATCTGCATTGAAAAGTTATTTAGAAATGAAAACCAGGTTCTTCTAAACGGGTAACTCTCCATTCTCCCGAGGAGCTGAGAGTCTGCTGGGCTGGTTTTTTGTCTAAGGACTCTTCCCCAGAAATGAAGCATCTGCCCCTATGCTGTTCTGCAGTGAAGTGTTTTGTCTTGGGTCCTTCTGAGGTTCAGCCCCGGCCTGCTCAAGGGTGATGACGACACTGGTGTGTCTCTCACGGGGGGGGTACAGCAGAGAGGTTTATCTGTGTAGAGCAGGGCCTTCAGCTTGCTTTGGGTAGGTTGTATTTCAATCACAGGAGCTATTTTTAAGAAGCCCAAGGTGCAAGGTCATTCAAATCTAAGGCTAAAATGTGTCGGGTGCTACCCAGCTAGGTGTGTTTCCTGTTCACTGGAGGCACGCAGGGCGCTTATAGCAGCTCAGCTCCTGCTTGCATGTCTGTATTACACGTTCCCATGTGGTAGAGCAAAGCTGAGAAGCATTTTCTGTACTGAAGGTATTACAGCAACCGCAGACATTTCAGGTTCAACACTGGTAAAAATGCTGATTAGCCCCTCAACAGGGACAGTGCTGCTGGATCCCTTGCCTCACCTGCATGGAGTCCAATTTGGGCTGTCTCCTACCTACCTGTCCTCTCTGTAGCTGGGTGTGAGCTCTCTAATGAAGGTCAGAAGTTCACCTATTAAATGTAGCTTTTCGGTGGCTCAGTGAGCCCTGTTCATTTCTGTTCTCAGTGGTGGTTGGATTCCGAGGTGGAGCGACAGCAGGATGTGTGAAGGGCCATCCAGGATTTCTGGACCCATTCCTCCAGACCCTACGCTCTTTCCAAACTATTATAAACGCCCCTTCTCAGGTGAGTCCTTGATGCTTGCTATGAATATGTGGTTTTGTACTTTGTCATGATGCAGCTTGCCTGTTTGATGTTCTTATTCTTTGGTGTTCTCAACAGTCTTCAATCACACTGGTGCAGGTGCTTTTGCTGCCTTACGGATGGTGATCCTAAAAGTGGTCTGTACAGCTGTTTGAAAGATAGGAAAGCATAAGGTAGAGGTGGAGAGGGTGTCTTCAGCATTGGTTAGGCTGTGGGTGAAGAAAACTGTGGGGTAGGTTCATTGTCTGATAATGTCCTTCTCTTGCTTTCTCTGTAGCTCGAGGGAGGCTGGAAGGGAATGCCCAGAAGCTGGATTTTACCTCTGGCTCCCCGGACCCAGTTCACAACCCATACCCTGCTTTGGGCAGTGCCCGCCAGGTCCAGCCAGTCCCTCGCATTCGTCCCAGTGGAAAGGACTTCCTGGAGAAGGGACAGAAGGGGACGCTCAGTCTCTTACTGCAGCTCGAAGGGATCTCCCTTGATGGGGGGCTGCCAGTCAAGAGTAAGTACAGCTGAGTCGCTGCTGGCCTGAGCTGGTTTTGGGGCCAGGGATGAAGCATCAGGGATTTGGGTGGATTCCTCAGCTCTGCTGCCTGAGGAGAGCTTGAGCTTCGCAGGGCTGGTCGCCTCATCTCCTGTGTTTGGCCTGGCAGTGGTGTCTGCAGGCTGTGGAGGAGCTGGTCCTGCTGCAGCCTCCCTAATTCCACTCTGGCCCAGGTAGGTGGTGGGAAGAGGGATTGTAAAAAAGTCTGTTTAATTTGGACTTGAGGACACATGGATAAGAGGTTGAGAGACGCTGGAAATAAATCAAGCCCTTCTAGTTTGCTGCCTCTGAATACAACCAGTATCTTTATAGTCAAACTTAAAGATGGATCAAGTGAAATCTTGAGAGGATGTTTAGCCTGGGGGATTCCTTGTTAGTTGTCGTGGTTTGAGCCTGGTCAGCAACCAACCGCCGCAGCTAATTACCCTCCCTTCCCCTTCCCCACCTGGGAATGGGGGAGGGGATTAGAGGGGTGAAGGGAGACTCGCAGGCTGAGATAGGAACAGTTTAATAATGGCAATAAAACAAGAACAATGACTATGATAGGGAAAAAAAAAAAAAAGAAATATATAACCAGGCAATGTACAGCGTAATTGCTCACCACCCGCTGACCAACACCCAGCCCGTTCCTGCCCAGCGACCCCGAGATACCAAGATCCCACAATCGCAATCCTGGAAGCGAGAGAGAGAGAGAGAGAGCTCCTTCCCACCCACCCCTCCTCTATATAGTGAGCACGACGTTCCATGATGTGGAATATTTCACTGGCCAGTCAGGGTCAGGTGCTGTGGCCGTGCTCCCTCCCTGCTCCCTGTGCCCTTGCGCACGGGCAGGACATGGGGAGTCGGAGAGTCCTTGAAGTCTCGGTAGCAGCTGAAAACATCAGTGTGCTGTCAGCATTTTTTCCCATACCAAACCCAAAGCTGAATCCACAACACAGCACTCATGTAGTCCCTGAAAAGGAATATTAACTCTATTTCAGCCCAAACCAAGACATAGTGAAGCCAGGCAGAATTTGGGAAGACTATCTGTATACGTGGCTACTGAGAACATCTTTGTGAACGATGTTCCCTTCTCCAGGAAGGTCACCCAGACTACATTCAGAGATCCAGGAAGGAGATAAGGCTGAGCGCCGGGTGTCATTTGATTTACTTCATGTGCTGGCATTGCCCCTAGCCCTGCCTGCTGCCAACGTGGTGGGTGCCACAACTTCTGTGCCAAAGCAGGAGGGGAATGGTTGGGTCAGCTGGGATCTTCCCTGCCTTGGGGAGCGCAAGGAAGGATCATTTTTAATTTGAAAACAAAAAATGCAATCCATAGTCCTGATTATGTCCCCTTGAATGGCTGACCATGGAAATAGGAACAATACAGGTTTAGGGCTCAGCAGCTGCCATTAACCAGCCCTGTCTTCGCTTCAGAAACACCACGGGATGCTGAACTGGGAACTGACCTTGCTTTCGAAGGGGTGCTGGCATGGCTTGTCTGGCATAGGCCAAAATGGGACAAGTGAGCCATACTCTCTCGGAACAAGGGAGTCTGTGAACACTAATAATGTGCACAGACCTGTGCTCATTCTCCTCTGGGCACTGTGGGATCCTCTAGCAGAAGAATGTCAATCCAGGAGTGCGCATCTAACATGGGAAGAATGCACAGGTTGCCTAGTCTCCCCCTAGGAGCGGGGAGAGCTTGCTATTTCTATGGGCGGTTGGACCAGCTTTGGAGACAGAGCTGTGGGCTCTGGTGCCAGTGCTCCAAGAGCCTGCATCCCTTGGCAGTGCCTGAGGGGTGAAGGCTCTGTCTCCCCTTGCTGTGCAGGGAAAGAGTTCAAGGACCATGAGAAGGAAAATATGAGGCGAATAAAGGAGATTCAGAAGAAGTGCAAAGAGAAGGAGAGAGCCCAAGAGCACAGCCAGCCCAAGCCTGTGAAAGCTCTGTGGAAATCCCAGAAATATGAAAACGTGGAGTCAAAGGTGAAGGCCAAACTGCAGGTCAGTACCCACTGAGCTCTTGAATTCTCCTGGCCTGGGATGTGGGTCAGCCATGAGGTTCTGTGGGATGGTGGAGGTGGGGGAGTCGCAGAACCTGCGGGTTTGGGGGCAACTTGGTGCTGAAGCACAGTGAGCAGATGTGACAGTGGGGCTGTGCGCTGAGCGAGAATGTTTGGCTTGGGGCTGGAGAGCGACTGCTGTGCTAATCCCCATCCCCTCTGACCAAGTAGAATCTCCATGCAGGGAAAGCTGAGAAGAGGAAAATCTCATCACACCATCTGCTTGGGTGCTCCTACTTGGCCCTTCAGTTGTTAGGGATCTAAAGGTGGTTCCTGGGGGGTGTAGAGCAGCCCCCACAGCCCTTTTCCCTGGCTAGAGGCGCATCCAGCTGGCTTTTCAACTTCCCAGTGTTTGGGGCAACACTTGTCTGGGATTTATGCCAAAAGGCTGTGGTATCCTGCCCCAGGGATCATGGTCCTCAGGGGTAGGTCTTCAGGCTGCGTCAAACCTCAAGCCAGCTCTTACCACCCTGTGGACCCACAGTGGGCTGTATATCTCCCGACTCATCTCCGAGTAATTCTGCTGGTGAATAACCACCGTGCAGTGGGGGAGCACAGGCATCTCCAGGCAGGCAGGGTGGGGACCGTGTAGCTCCAGCACAGCCTGCAAGGGTGTACGTACCTCCTGTCCTCTGTACACGTGCTCGTGGGAGAAGGGATGTGGGGCCGTGCCTTGGATCCTCAGGCTTTCCCAACTGCTGAAATGTTTGTGGCTTCTGTTCCAAGCAGGTGTCTGGCTTTGTGAAGGTTTTGGATTGCTTTTGACTTCTTTTTCTTTCTCTGGATAATTTTTTCTCCCCTGGTGGGTTCCTGGTGCTCAATGGTGCCTCTGCCAGAAAGCTTTGTAAAATGCACCGAAGTGGCTGCCTTGGTAGAGGTGTACCTGTTCGTACAGAAAGTGGAGTTAAGGCTCAGTCACTATCTTTGGGTGGATCTGTCGTCATCAGTCTGGATCTGGGAGACCTCTGCCATCCCGGTGACCTCTGTTTGGTTAGCCTCTTCCTTCACCCAGAAGTAGGCACCGTGAGTCCTTGGTAGCCTTCACAGTCTCTGTCTCAGTTCTGCCTTTTCAGCCAGGCAGGCTGTGTGGACGGGAGCGACACATCTGCTTCTGCAGATGGTGGATGTGAGCTGGGGCTGCCTCGAGCGCTGCGCCAGCCTTCCCTTGGTGTTCCCTTGCTGAGTTGGAGCCTTCAAGTTCCATCCTCATCTCTGCATTGCTTCCCCGTGGTCCGTGGCCCTCAGGCCAACTTTTGACACTAGAATTATGTGTATTGATAACAACTGCAAAAATTGGCAAGCTGGTTTCCAAGCCAGTGGTTCCAAATGCTGTGTCCCCTCTTCCTGCTGTGCCACCAACCTCCATGACCCTTCCACACACGGGAGCAAACCCAGGTGTACTTTAGGAACGCAAGCCTACGCTCTTTGACTAATCCTCTGGGTTAGAGGAAGATTGAGATAATTTCTTCTTTTGTTTTGGGGAAAGGGGGTGGTCTCTGCGCAGGCAGTTGCTGCGTGGTGTGTTCCTTGTGCTCTGTGGATTCCTCCAGAGAGAGGTGGCAGGAGGCCCTGGCGCTGACTCACGTTGCTTTAACTGTTGCTGTGGCTCTCCTAGAGCTGAGGTGTTCCCTTTGATAGATCTCCATCTTCTGTGGAGCTGCTGCTGCTGCTCAGAGTTTAAACTGATTTTGTTTGGTCTTGATGTCCAACGCAGTTTCTTTTCTCTCATCTGTCCCTGAGGTTGTTAATTGTAGCGGCTGCCTTGAAAAGGGCTCTGGCAGTCTCAGTGCTCCTGTGGAGGGAGACGGGGCACGCCGTGCTCTGCCAGCACGCTCCTAAGATCACAGACTTACTTGACTTCAAGCCAACCATGCTAGGTAAAGGTACTTCTCATGAACTTACTGGAGAGATCGGAGTCTCCTGGCTCCTGTCGAACCAAGACTGATCGTCTTTGAGGCAATTCAGTCTGAGCAGTGCTGAGGGCATCACACCCCCTGGTCCTTACACCAAAACTACTGATGTGACGGTCCTATCCCACCTTCAGGCTTCAGGTCTGCTGAGCTAAATGGGCCAGGCCACAAGGAATCTGCCTTGAGGCAACCACAGTTCAGCTGAGAGAGCAACTGAGACCTCGGGTACCTGTAAATACCTGGGGGCTGCCCTGAACAGTTCCTGTCACTTCCACGAGCAGTTTATCATAAGGTCACCCACTTGTCACAGCGTCAACTTTCAATTTTCAGGTTTTGTTTGCAACAGGTCTGTCTGAGATAGTCCCCAGACTGCCTGTTAGACATCAAGTAGCCTTGTGCCAATGTTAACGATGCCCTTTGAAGATGCCTCTCAGATGCAATTTCACTCTCCCAAAACTACCAGACCCCTTCACTCTCCACTCCTCTTTCTGTCTGGAGTAGCATAACCACAGATTTGGGGTGCTGAGCAGAGCAGCACTTGGGAACAGCATCTCAGCAGTCAGCTTCATGCCTGCCTGTGCCATTTCATTAAAGCTTGCTGTGGCAGGGCTCTGCGGCATGCTCTGGATTTCGGGAGGTGGGATGGCATCTTTTGGGAGTTCAAGTTCTCTACTGTTGCCAACAAGGGAGACGCATGTGTCAACTTCCAGCACGCTTACTCCACGCTGCCATTTGCCCTTTTCACGGGAAGATATTTGCTTTTTAAGGAGTCATGATCACTGGTCAGCGTGGACTGTCCATCCATTTAGATTGTCCCTAGCTCTGGTAGGTATCTTTGTTGGGTTATATGGTGTTGCTCTCCTTTCATGCCTTACCAGATTAGTCAGTAAAGAGGGACTCTCCGGTCAATTCTACACATGCATTTGATCCACATGAGTGTTTCTGCAGACTTTTGCCCTTTTTCTTAGCGTTTCTTCACCAAGTTCAGTTGCCAGGTCTGGTTTTGTTGCTGTAAGCAGTCTGTTTGCCTTTTCTAGCTGTGTACAGATTGCCTTCTCCCAAGAACTTCTGCCAAGTTATGGCAGAAAGAGCATGCTGTCATCTGCCTGCTGGAAACTCGTGGTTGAGCTTGTGGCTGAGTTTGGGTGGGTTTCTCTTTGCTCCAGCCTCCCTCCGCTAGTGGATCTTTTCTTGCCTTTCCCAGGAGAGCTCCCCATCTCCAAATCCGGAGGCTCTGAAATTTCTGAGGGCCTATTCTCGCTGTGGCCCTGGGATCAAGCCGTGCAGACCGCTCTCCCCCAGGCCTGCCAGAACGAAAGCAGGAGCAGACACAGAGGCTCCAGAGCCACTGGATGCTGAAACCAAGGTGAGTTGCACACTAACTGCATCCACCCGAGAGGTTTCTGGCACTTATCCACTACTCCTGCTTTGAACTCTTCACGTGCTCTTCTAAAGTGTTGGGTCAGATGTGCTGCATGAACAGGGAGATCTGTAAATACTATTCCTGGCCAAAGGGAAGGAACAGGATCTTGGTCACTGGAGTGGTGAGGCGGGCCTTCAAGGTTTGCTGATACTACCCTTCAGGCTTCATCCTTGCTCATAATTAAAGAGATTGTGAAGTTCCTGTTGAAAATCCCACCTCCTCGCTGTAGAAGTGCCGGTGATTTCAAAGCTGCTCTTCCTAGGGCTTTGCAGGAGGTCTTGGGGATTTGGAGACTGCTCCCACCTTAATCAAAGGAACTGTGGCTTCTGGATGTTAGATAAAAATTTGGGAAATGGATGTGCTTTTTAGTAAGGAGAGTTAAATCACTATTAACAGTTAAACCTTTCAGGTAGTCTGCCTGGAAGGTCCTAAACTGCTCTGGGACTCATGTCTTCTTTCCTTGGCAGGTGTGGGGTTGTCCGTTTGCTGGTTCCCAAATGCTGTGGAGTGACTTAATTTAAACTGGGCATAAACTCATGAGGAGGAAAAACCAAGAAAACCTTAAACTCAATTCCAGCGACCTTCTCCCCTGTCTTGACCGTTAGAGGAGCTGTGACAGAGGGTGCTGTTTCTGGGGAAATGCCCCCAAGGACCAGCTAAGTTTCTGCTCTGCCAGGGGCTCTGTTGCATTTACTGATCTGGTGAGGGCCTGACCAATTTTTCCCCTGACCTGTTCTGAGGGGCTCAAGACACAGCAGTAGGAGCCACGTGGACTATGTCAAGCCTGGTTCTTCCTGTCCTTCTGTCTTTGAGGGCATAGGGTCAGCTTGGGGACCTCAAAAAAACAGGGTTTAGGTTTTGCCTGGCTTTTGGTGCCAGACAAACCGTGGCATCCCAGAGGTTTCTGGCACTTATTCTGGCACTGGTTCCTTCTCAAAACATGGCCATAGCTCCTGCCTCTCTCTCTGACTCTGGAGGTGGGATAGGCTGAGGGTATGCCCGTCCTCTTGTAGTACACCTGCAATCCTCTATCTTGTGGGGGTGCCCCTTTGCTTTGTCCCTGTGCCGAGCTGGCCCCTGCTGCCTCCCTCTCTCTCTCTCTCTCTCCTTCCAGATCCGGGTAGAGGGCAAGAGCATTGACTTCATTAAGCACAACGCCCGCAACGCCAAGCGGGCCCCGCTGCGGCGCTCGCAGTCCCTGCAGGCGCTGGCCGAGCTGCTGGAACAGAAGGAGCAGGAGCAGGAGGAATACAACGCCAAGCAGAAGGGCCACGTCCCCCAGTAGTACGTATGCCCCTCTCTGGTTCACAGGACTTCCTGTAAAAAATCCACTTCCCTTCACCACATCCCCCAGCTACTGTGTAGAAAGACAGGGGACCGGGGACAGAGGCGCTCTCGCCACATACAAGCAGCACAATTTGCTGTGGCCTGGGGAATAAATGGCAATCCCTCCTGGTTTCTTGCCTTAACGAGCATCCCCCTGGCCAGTGTGACTGGGCACAGAAAGAATTTCGTCTCCTCCTCCCTTGCTTGCTGTCGTACAACGATGCTGACATGGGGATGCTCTCTGTGCTCTGAGAGATGTGTTCCTGCCCCTTTGGAAGCCTTGCTCTGCCTGACATAGCTTCGGTATTAAAAGGTCTGGGTTTGGTGAGGCAGATAGCTGGCTTTGCTTCGCAAACGTTCATCCTGCCTTGGACCCGGAGCCTGAGGAGCATCCAACTGGTGAGTTGTGTTTTGGGGTTCAGAGTGGAGAACAGTTCCTGGGTGACCCTGTCCTAGGACTGACCCTGGCGTTGGCTCTCTGCCGTGCCTGCTGTTCTCTGCCAGCGTCCTTGGCCGTGAGCTGCTTTGCCCAACTTCACTCTGCCACTGGCCCACAGATGGTTTTGAGAGGACTCGGTGGCCTGGGCCAGAAGCAAGGAGCAGCCCTTGTCTCCCAGGAGCTCCTGTTGGCCTCAGTGCAGCTCTTCCAGCAGCCCTTCAGTGCACGTGGAGCATGTTTGCTAGCCCATACGTGTGGGCTACACCCAGGTGTATCCCCCCACGGTGGGGCAGCCGCCCTGGAGACCAGCGGGGTTTGAAGGGCTCGATTCCTGGCCTCTGCCTGCATCCCCGGGTGACCCCTCCTGCCAGATGTGCTGACACGTGCCTTCGCTCGCTTTGACAGCCTGCTGGAGAGGAAGGAGCTGTGGCGCAGACAGACGGAGGAGCGGCTGCGAAACCTGCCAGATCCCGACACGCCACCTGGTCACACCATGATGCCGGAGGGCCAGCGGCTGCAGACCCTCAGCGATCTGAAGCAGAGTAAGAGGAAAAGAAACGGGGATTCCAGCTCGGAGAAACAGGCAATCCTAGCCAGGATTGGGGAGAAGAGAGTTCTGGGGCGCAGATTCCTGCCACTTGGAGAGTTACCTGGAATAAGGCAACGTGGCTGGGGTGTTGCAGCATTTGAGCTGTGTGCATGGGAAGAGAAATCCTTCAGGTTGGTGGGGCCTGCAGGTCTGGCGCTCTGGAGCAGGCTTGTCCAGTGGACCTGATGGTGGGGGTACTGTTGCTCTTAAAAAGATAGAAAGATTCAGAGCTCTCTAGTCTGACCCTTAGTTCTTCAGAGCTGGAGCAGGGCGTTCAGGCCCTCATCCAGCTGAGCTGTGAATAGAAGGGTGGGTATTCTAAGTCCTTGTTCCAGTGCTGCCAGCATTTTCATGGCTGAGGATGCCATCATAGCGTTAGGAAAAGGATGGATTTCTTTGCTCTTCTACTTACACAACTTGGTTTTGGCTTTTTTTTTTTTTTTTTTTACAGGCCAGGAGCAGCTGATAAAGGACCTGGTGATGCTGCCAGTGCGCACAGACACTCTCAGCATGCAGAAGAGGCGGATAGAGCTGGAGAGGAACCTCTCCCACATAGAAGAGGCCATCAAAATTTTCTCAAGGCCCAAGGTCTTCATCAAGCTGGACTCCTGAGCCTCTGGGACTGGGTGCGTTGCGCTCCTCCGTGCAAACATCTTCCAATGCTGGGAAGGGATGATCATCACTTTGGGAGGGAAGGAGAGGAAGGCAAATTCAGGACCCTGGGCCCACGCAGGTGCTGATACAGTGTCCAACGTGCAGCTGGCATCTCTTGCTCACTGTCCAGTGCTCTCTCTTGTCACGGAAAAGGGGGGCAGATGCCCCAGTATACCATCCACTCTGTTGTCTGGAGGACAGTTGCCTGTGTGCTGCTTGACTTCTCAGAGATCAGCTCTCTGCTCTGGGTCCATGGCATCACCTCTTATTTTCCCATTTTTTCCCACTTCTAGAAACTGGTAGGAGGTCTCCCGTGCTGCTGCCTGTGATGTTCCTTGTCCCCTCCTTTCTCCTGAGCTGGGCCACGATCATGGTTCATTCTGGGCACCTGCAGATTTGTCTGCACAAAAACCTCGTGCTGTACGTCTGCCGTGCGTGCCCCGGTCCTGAGCACCGACCCGTCCTGCTCGCGCAGCCGGTGCCTCTGCACCCTCTGACCTGTCAGGGCTCAGCAGCTTGGGGACAGCTTGGGGACAGCGAAGAGGCGCAGAGCTTCAGTCCTTGCTGCCCACAGAAGAGCTGGGCTGGCTGTGGGTCTGGCAGGATCTCTGGAGGAGCCTTTGTTGTCTGTGGGGCAGGCCATGCTCCAATAAAGCATCGTTGCCCTCTTGCAGCATGTATGCAGGGCCCGAGGAGCGGTGGTGGGTGGCAGAAACCAGCAGCACTGATGTGGTGCTGGCAGGGGGAGAGCCGTGGGTCCTGGTCCCACTTTCTGCAGCAGCCTGAGGCGGCCAGGGAGGTTAAGTTTCACGGCGCGGGGGTGCTGGGGCAGGGTGGTGGACCCAGAGGAGTGGCGAATGTGCAGAGTCCTGCCAGGCTGGCAGGACAGGGCTGGGCAGATGCCATCGTGGAGGGGAGCTCGCTGCCTCCTCGCCTTCAGAGGCCAGGGCAGGGAGCTGTGCAGACCTTTGCAGGGATCCTGCCGCGTCACGCATAGAGAGATTGAAGGTGGAAGGGATCGCTGGAGGGCTTGGGCCATCTGCTCAGCGCGGGGCCAGCTCCGCAGCTTGGGGCCTTGTCCAGCTGAGTTAGGAAAATCTCCAAGGATGGGTTTGCCACAACCATCTTGCCTGGACTCTGACCCTGGGCTGTGCCACCCTGAGGGGGAACTCTTCTTTTTTTTTTTTTTTTTTCCCCTGAATTCCCATCAAAATTTCCCTTGTTGCAGCTTGTGCCTGTTGCCGTGTCTCCTGTCACTGCGTGGGGTGGGGATGCTGTGCGTGGTTGCCCCAGGCAGGTGCCTCGTTGCACTGGGTTACTCTGTCCCCGGGGAAGGATTTGGGGGGGGGGGGGGGGGGGGGGGGGGGGATGTTGCAGATTGGCCCAGCCCTGCCTGTGGCACCCGATGCTCTGTGGCGCCCTGGGACGCGGAGGGCCGACGCTGCTGCCATGGGCCAGGGAAGCTTTTAGCACCCAAGGGCTGGAGTAGGTGAGATGCCAACTGGAAAAATCACCCCACGCTCCCCTGGGGCTGCCCTCGGGGCAAACGCTGCAGCCAGGCTGGGCGGGCTGGGTGAGAGCAGTGCTGAGAGCACCCCGCGGGGTGGGGGCCGCGGGCACCAGCCCCCGTGCACCTCCCTGCTCTAAATGAGTCTGGACTAACCAGCCCCGCTGTCTGCTTTGCTCTCGCCTGTCTGGGCCCCGGCTGGGTGCTGCGACGGGAGCCCCGGGGCTGCCAGGCTCGGCCCTTGCTGCTCTCCCTGCCTGTCCCCGGCAGGGCTGGGGCTCCAGATGGACAATCAGAACCCGAACGTGGTGCCGTCCATTCCGACCCCGAGAGCTGTGGGTCCTCCTCCTCCAGTCCCACCGGGTGACCTTGGCAGCAGTGCTGGTGAGAGGACCCTGTGTTTGTAGGGCCCTTGGCACTAAACTAACCCCAGGGCTCCTCTGTGGCTGCTGGTGAGGTTTTGGTTACACCAGCCCAGGGAAGTGCGTGGGGTTTGGTTCTCGAGGCGGGGGGGCCGTCAGCAAAGGCAACAGGGTGCAATCCCCTCCCCTCCCTGCGGAGGTGCCCGGCTCTGCCACCGGACAGGGTGCCTGTGCCCAGCCCAGGGCACCCAGCACCGCCCCACGGGAGCCAGGCCAGGGCACCCAGCCCCATCCACGCTTCCTTCCCCAGGGATTTGATCCGAGGGCCGTGGGAGCAGCCCTTGGGCCATGACGGGTGCCCTTGCTCTCCCTTGAGCATCCACGTGCAGCTGGAAAACCCCTGCCCTCAGGTGCACCCCACCTGCCCGACCCTGTGCCCCGGCTGCCTCGCCAGCAAACGTTGCTGGTGGCCGTGGTGGGTCGGGGCAGAGGTGCCGGTGCTGCAGGAGGTGTGGTGGGAGGGAGTGAAGACCCACAGGGAGAGTCAGCCACAATCTGGCAAGGCCTGTTCCCAGGCAGGGCAGGAGGGGGAGAAGCTGTTGCTGCTGGGGGTCCGATGGGGCCTAGCAGCACCTTCCCGCTGGGGAGTTGCTCCGTCCCTCCCTGCAGGCAGGAATGTGCTGGGCCAGGCCAGCAGCAAAGCCAAAGCCACCGTCAGCCCAGCGCTTCGGTGCTGGGAGAGGGGCTGGGGGTGCTGGGAGCCCAGGTGAGCAGCGGGGTGGGTACGCTCGCCCACTCCCCGAGCTTGGGGCTGCAGGAGAAGGATGGAGCTGCGCCACCCCCCAGCAGCGTTTTACCGGGGCTGAGTGACAGCCAAGGCGCTGCTGCCAGCCCGGGTGCCACCCAGCTCCTTGCAGGTGTCACCAGGGTGACCCCAGCGTAGAGAGGGCACCGCAGCAGCGCCAAGGTGGGAACCACTCAAGGCTCCTTGCGTCAGGCCGCCACGCCCCAGGCTCGCTGCCCAAAACAGCCCGGACACACGCCGTGGGACAGGGACGTGCAGGGGGAGGGACGTGCCGCGGTGTCCCCCCCCAAAACCCCCCCTGTTCCTCCCCTCACCAGGGTCTGCCCAGCGCAGCTACAGCACGTGCCACGGCCAGGGGTGCCGCTCCCAGGCGCAGCCCTCGCGCGTGCGGGACCAGGGGTCCCCACCCGCTGTCCCCCCTCCTGCGGGGGACCTGCACCAGCTGGGTGTGGGGCTCGCGGTGGCCCACGGCACGTGGGACGGGGTGATAGGGCTGGTGGGGCAGGTGCCTGCCCTATCCTATGGCACCGGGCCTGCTCGCTGTCCTGGAGGGGGGCTGAGCCCGGCGGCTGTTGGGGTCCAGCCCCTGCGGTGACAGGAACCAGGGACAAGCAGCGTGCTTACTAGAAAAGGTTTTACTGTCCGTTGCAATATATTAATTGATGATGCATATTTCAATAAAACAATTAAAAAACCCCCACTTGCTTGGAAGGAGGGGGGGGGGGGGGTGGGAGGCAAGGGGGCTCGGAGGGGCAGTGCCTGGCAGGAGCGGGCACCGCAGCGGGGCTCCCGGGGACACGGGTGGCAGGAGAGGGCGGGAGGCAGCCCCGCGCTGGCCCTGCCCGCTGGCCCTCTCATCGCCCCAGCGCCCGTGACCAGCCTGGCCATGCAGAAGGCCGGCAAGGGCGGCGTGGGACCCCGTGGCTATAGGGTGATGAGGGTGCCGTCCTCTCGCCCGCTGCCCCGGCTGGGGCTGCCGTCGTGGCTGCCGAGGGACTGCAGGGAGCCCCGCGAGCTGTGCGGGGACAGGCTCCGCCGGAGGGGTCCGTCCACGGGGCCCCCGTTGGGGCAGCCCCCGGGGATGTAGTGGGGTGCGCTGTCGCTCTCGATGACCAAGTCGCCCTCCTCGTCGCTCTCGGCCGTGCTGTAGTTGCTCAGGTACTGCGAGGCCGGGCTGGGGGTCTGCTGGCTGGGGGTGCTGTCCGTGGACATGCCCGAGCTGCCCGAGGCCTTGCTGCTGCGAATGACGTTGTTGCGCTGGTTGGCCGGCTTGACGGTGATGATGAGGTTGTGGCTGTTGGCCACCATCATGTCCGTCACCTGGTCCAGGGACTTGCCGGCCACGTCGATGCCGTTGACCTCCAGGATCTCGTCGCTCACCGCCAGCAGCCCCGTGCTCTCGGCCAAGCCGCCCTTCACCAGGCGGGAGATGAAGATGCCGGGCACCTTCTCGACACCCTGCGGGGCCACGCGCACGCTGACGCCGTCGCGGATGTAGAATCCCAGCGGCTTGTCGGAGCCGTGCTTGTGGAGCCGCACGCGGCGGTGGGTCTCGGGCAGGATGTCCACGTCGATGATGGAGGAGATCTGGCGGAAATCCTGGGGCATGCCGATGAGGAGGTGAGGCTTGGCCCGGTAGTGCGCGGGGCGCAGCAGCCCCTTCTTCTTCCGCTGCAAGGAGTTGGAGGCGAAGACGCCGGCGTCAGACTCTGCTGGAGGGAGGGAGGGGGGGGACACAGGTTGAGGCACCGCAGCTGCCCGGGGCTGCACCCGCCTGCCCTTGGCCCTGGCTGCTCGGGGAGCCGGCAGAAGCGCCCTGCTCGCGGGTCTGACCGGCTTTTCCTCCCCGGAGCATCACCCTGGCTTTTCCTGCAGTCTGTCTCTACCAGGCCCGTCTCCTGGGATTACCCAGCGTACACAAGGCCAGGATTAGTGGGCTCAAGGCGGTGATTCAGCCTTAATCACACTTTAAGCCAAACTCTGCAGTTTAACACTAGAGCTGCCAGCCCTGACGGCCCGGGGAGCCATGGCCGTGGCCCGTTTGGGTTTGGGGAGCCCCCCCCCTGCATGAGGGGGTGCTGTGTTGGCAGCCAGCTCCCCAGAGGCGAGTCCGGCGCCGTGAGACAGCAGCGGAGTCCCTTGTCCCCACCGGAGCAGGGCCGTCGCTGGCACGGGATGGGGCTGGCCGCAGCTCTGTCCTGCTGAGCCCTGCCATCCCCCAGGATGGAGACTCCCCTCCTCCTGGCGCCCCAGCCCAGGGCTGCAGTGTCCCCAGGGCCCTTGAACATCCCGGAGTGTGATTTGTGCCCCTGTCTCCTCATTCCACCATCTGGCACCACCACACAGGGTCTGACTCCATCCCCCCTGCCCTTGCCCTGGGGCTGCCCTGTGGGGCCCAGCTCCACCATGTCCCCCCCCTTGGCCGCATCCAGCAGGTGCTGTGGAGCATCCCCGGGGCCCTCTCTGGTTTCTCCCCATCCCCTTCCATGGTGGGGGGGGGGCCCCAGATCTGGCCATTGCGTTGCTGCCGCGTTCCCCACGGTGCCCCCCCCGCCCCAGCAACCCAATCCTGCTCCAGCCGCAGGGGCACTGGGGATGCCCCAAGCCCAGGGGACGCGGGGTTCCTCCCTAGCCAAGCCAGCCTGCCAGGGCTCCTGGGTTATAAATATCTCTCTGCACACACAGCCTGGCATATTTTTAGCTCGGGGAAGGGCAGCGGAGGCTTTCCTACAGCTATTTCAGCGCAGAGCTCCTCTCCAAGGAGCGTGGAGCTGCTGGGCCCGGTAGGTCCAGCACCTCATGGGCAAGCCCTGGCGATGTGCTGGGCTTTCCCTCGCCCTTCCCGTGAGCCACAAGCCCAGCCCAGGAGGGCCAGCACAGCTGCCCACAGCCAGGCTGCCCCGCAGGGACGGCTTCCCCCGGCGGGGTGACGGCACAGAGAGGAACCAACCCGCAGCCTTTGCTTTTCGAGCCCCGGCGGCAGGACTGGCGGCCGCGGAGCCCACCGATGGGCGCGGGCATGTGCTGTGCCCCCAGCTGGGCGAGAGGCTCTGCGGCCGCATTCCTCACCGACCTGGACTGGTTCGACGACAGCCCGGCCCCCAGGGTGACCTGGATCCATTTTAAATCAGCTCGTGACTCAGCCAGGGCTCGCTCCCGGCCGCCCTGCGTGCCTCCCACGGTGCTGCCGGCCCCGTGGCCCCTCTCCCCCGCGGGCACAGCCGGGTGCCAGGCAGGGCTCACGGGTGCTGCCTCCTCACCCTCCTTATTGCGCTGCCCACGGTGCCAGAGCCACGGCTGCCCGCTCTCTGCACGCCGCCAGCTCGGAGCGGTCAGCCACAGGCCCTCCCCTGCTTTCCCCGGGAGCAGCCAAGGTGGCTCTGGGAGCAGGAGCAATGCTCCTGCAGCAGCCCCGACACCCCCAGCCCCGCGCCAGCTCCCCGTGCCACAGCCTGGCTCCAGGCATTGGTCTGGGAGCAGGGGATGGTTCGGTGTCGGCAGCGGCAGCTCCTGCCAGGCTCCAGCTCCCTCCTGCCAGCAGCCCGGATCTGCGCAGCCGCAGCCGGCCCCCACGCTGCGTGGCCCCAGGGCAAGCACATGCCCAGGGCATCCCGCAGCACCCTGGTGTAAGAGGCCAGGAAAACCAGCACGGCAGCCAGGCTGGCCACCAGCATCACTCCTCGCCCAGGGACTTCAAACTGGCACCACGAGCTGGAAATGGGGTCGCTCTGGGCACCGTGCTGGGGAAGTCAGAGCTTTTAGATCAGGCTCTGGCTTTGTGCACATTTGCTTGATGGTTAAAAAAGCCTCAGTGCTACTCAACTGAGCGGAAGGAGATGGGCTTGTCTCTGTCTCCTCAGTGAAGAGGAGACGTACCTGGGGTATTTGTCACCGGGGAGGCTTTTATCCATGCTGGGACACCGATACCACGGCCATTTCCCGCTCCTGTTTGAGAAAGCTGCTTTCTGGGAACGCGGCACTGCAGTCAGGGTGAGCCCCTGGGCTGCCGGGGAGGAGACGGGCCTCCTCCCACTGCCAAAAACTCAGCAGCTCCCAGCACCCCGAGAGCTCTGCCAAAACGATAGCTGTCACCGCCCTGGGGCAGGGAGCCAACAGGGCTCCCGGGAGCAACGCGGTGCGTTCCGCGATCCCACGCAAGCCCAGCTGGAAAATGCGACTTCAAAGGGGTGAACTGCGGGGATTTGCCTTCAGCGGCTGGGGTGCGTGGGGCCGGGTGCCCCTCGGCACGGGGAAGGGCTGCCGGGGAGAGCCCGCGTGGGTGCCCCGGCCCCGGCGGGGCTCTGGGAGCCCCCCGGTGTCTCCAACCTCCCCATCCATCCACCACAGCGGTGGATAGAGGGTACGCGACCGGCTGCCCCCGCCGCTGGCACAGCCCAAATGTGGAACCAGCGGTGTCGCGGGACGCGGCTCATTTCTCTTGACGGGGCAGACGGATCCAGCGCCCCTTCTCCAGATCCTGCTTACCCTTCTTCTGGATGATGACCCTGAGGAGGGGGTTGGCAGAGGACAGGGCTTTCTGGTAGTTGTCGTCGTTGTTGATGGGCAGGAGGTCGCCGTGGATGTCCGTGTAGCCCAGGAGCACGTCCACCCGTGGGATCTGGTGCACCGACTGCAGCAGGCGGTAGAAGTCCTGGAAGCTGCCCGCACCGGAGCGCTTCATGGCAAAGCGGCGAAATTCAGCGTCGAACTGTGGAGGAAGAGGAGGAAGAGGGTGAGGCTGGGCAGAGGCTCCGGCTGGCGGGACCGATGCAGGCAGGGCACCGCGCAGAGCTGCCCCGGGGCACGCAGAGCCGGGCGCTGCCGACTCCAGAGCCCCGGCAGCACCAAGGCAGCGGCGCCCGTCAGCCAGAGCCCATCCCAAAAGCAAAATAAAAGGAGCGGAGCCATTTTCCTGCCCAAACACCGAAGCAACGGGCATGGAGAGGTGCCCACGTGGCAGAGGAAGGACCCTCCGGCCGTACCGCCAGCCACGGCAGGCACGGTGCCACCGGGAGGCCCTTCCCTGCCACACGGGCGCTGCTGTAACGCCCGGTGAGCAACGGCTTTAATTATTGCCTCCTTCAGTCACGACGAAGGGGAAGCCAATTAAGAACAGGGTGAGGAATGCTGTGAGGATCGCGCTGCCGGAGGGGGGGGATCACACCCCGGCTGTGCGCCCCGGGAAGGAGGGCACCCCGCACCCCTGGGGGTGCTGGGGGCCGGCGAGGGCACAGCTGGGTGAGCACACAGCTGGAGGAGGGTGCAGCAGGGGAGCACGCACATCTGGGTGAGCACAGGGCGGGCTGGGTGAGGGCACACGCCTGGGCGAGGGCGCGCCAGGTGCACGCACACCGGAGGGGTGAGCACATCTGGGCGAGTGGGCACATCTGGGTGCGGGGCAGAGGGTTCATCCTTTGTTGGGGGTGGGGGTGGGGGTGTGCAACATCTGGGCGATGGTATAGCTGGGGCTGTGCGTGCACATCTGGGCGAGAGCACGCCAGGGCAAAGGCATGCTCCCGGAGCCACCCCGGGGCTGTCGGCACCCTGCGCCGGCGAGGGTGCACATCTGGCGAGGGTGCACATCTGGCGAGGGCGCACATCTGGCGAGGGCGCACATCTGGCGAGGGCGCACATCTGGCGAACGCTCCCACGGTGGGTGCCGGCCGCGCCATGCGGGCCCTTGGCCCGGCGGAGCCCGGAGTGCCGGGCCGGGCTCCGGGGAGGCCCCGGGCAGCGGAGCGGCCGCACGGCCCTGGTTCCCGCACCGCCCCCCGCCCCCCCCCCCCACGCCGCGGTGCGCGGTGCCGCCCCACGCGTGTGCCGCTCGACGGCGACCCGGCGGGCGCTTACCTTGCTCTTGACCTCGATGACGGGCTCGGCGGAGCGCGCCGGCGTGCGGTGGTGCTTGGCCATGCTGCGGGCCGGGCCGGGCCGCGGGGCCGCGCCGCCGCCGCCGCCGCTCCCGCGGCCACGGGGGATTTTCACCGGCCATGACGTCACCGGCGAGGCCGCCTCGCCATTGGCCCCGGCGGGTAGGGGGGGGCGTGACCGGGGGGGGGTTGCTGACAACGTCGCCGTGGCAACGGGGGCGGGGCCGGGCGGGCGGCAGGACACACACACACACACACACGCACGCACGCACGCACGCACCCGCTCTGACATCCCCGCTTCGTTCCCACGCGTGTCACCGGTGGGACCCTTGGTTCCACCCGGGGGTATTTCAGCGGGGGGGGGTGGGGGTGGGGAAGGGGGCTGCCCGCTCGCCGCCGCCGCGGGCCCGGTGGCCCGTGGGCTGGCAGGCCGCCGGGCCACCCCCAGCACCAGGGGACGATTTTCAGCCCGGCCTGCGACACGCTGCTGCACCGCTGCTCTCCAGCCTCCTGGTTCCAACGTTCCCTCCGGTTCTTCCCCCCCCCCCCTCCCCAAGCCAGCAGGAAAGTTTTCTTCCCGCTCCGCCGCAGCACGGGATGGGGAAGTTTACCCATCCCGGGGACGAGCTGCTTTATGGAGCAGCAGAACAACCGAGCAGAAGGAGGGGAACCGCTCGAGTTCAGAGGCGACGCGCCAGGCTGCCAGGCTGCGGTTGTCTCTGCGGGCAATGCCCTCAGGATGCGTCTCCGGCAGAACGGGCTCTGTTCAGGTGCAGAAACGCTCAGGGAACCCAGGCAGCCCCTTCGCGGCAGCCCCAGCCGTGGGGCAGCCCTGCCTGCGCGACCCCTGAGCGTGCTGCGAGCTCCCCGCCCACTCGCGGGCTGCCGGCACCAACCCCGGGGCCTAAACAGAACTCAAGTCTTGTTGGTGGGCTCCGAGGAAGCTGCCACATCGGCCGAAGGGGCTGCAACAACAGCGCTGTGAAACGCTCTTTAAAGCCAGGCACCTCACAAGTGCAGCGCTTCCTCCTGAATAAACACACCGAATCAAACCCCGAGAATCAGCCCAGCTTGTCTGGGTCCTGATCCCGGCCCTATCCCAGCCCGCAGAGCGACCTTTGGGCAGCATGAAATTGCATCAGACCCTGGCGTCGCCACCGCACCGGGCCTGTGTCGGATTGCTCCCGCTGCGCTGAGCGATTGCCACGCGGTGAAAACGAGCCCGACCGCACAAAGAGCTGTAAACCCGTCAGCAATTTCCTCCCTCACAGGTGGTGGTTTTTTTTTTTAAACAGAGTAATTGTGTTGAGGTCAGAGAGATAATCCTGATTTACACCAGGGTTAACGTTTACGCAGGCACCGGTGACAAAAGCAGCTTGCAGCCCTTCATCTCCAATTTTGGTAACTCGGAGTTAAGCGTCCGGCGGGATGGTGGGGGTGACATGCTGGTAACACTTCTTGTTTTGCGCCGTGTCCCCAGATCCGCAGCTACAGAGCGAGACCTAAGCTACGCACACTGTACCGGGGCAGGTATTTGTTTTTCCTTAGCACCAGGAGCTCTGAATCAGCCTCTGGGACCGGAGCACATGCTACCAGGTGTCCAGACGTGCCCACCAACTTCAGATCCGCCAGTTCTCGGCTGGTTTGGGTGAGGGTCTGGCTCTCCCGGGGGGCTCAGCACCCCCTGATTTGGAGGGGGGGTGCCGAGGTTTAGCACTTCAGGTGAGCGGGTGCCTCAGGAGGTCGCTCCTCCACCCCCCTGGTCAAAGCTGGGTCGGTGCTGGGCTCAGATAAGGCTGTGCAGCACGTCCCTGTGAGCGGGCGGTTTTCCCAGCATTGGTGTGGGCAGGGGATGGGCAGCTCAGGTGATCTCTGCCCGCCTTGTCCCTGACAGAGGCAGAAACACGGGAGTCTGAGCTCGAGGCGGGATCAGCCCTGCGACTGCAGCTGCTCATTCGGGCCAGCAATGGCACAGGGAGTCACAGCAAAATGCAGACACGGAGCCTGCAAACCTCATTTGGTACCGATATCTCCACAGCTTTGCTTTGTCCCTGCCACCCGTGGGTGCCTTCTGGGCACTCTGAGCAAAGGCTGCAACCGAGAGAGCAGCAAAATCACCTTGACCTCGGTGCCCTCCATCCCCGCCGGGATGTACCCCGGCCGCTGCGGAGGGTTCATCCGACCAGATGTAGGCTCAGTTTGTTTCCTTGCGATTCAATTTCGTCAGCTCCCAGGGCAGCGATGCCCCGTGGCACAGCTGTTCCCCAGGAAGCTCTGAGGTGATGCATCCCCGTGGCAGAGTGGCTTTTCTGGTTGCAAAATCTGGTACTGGCTGCAAACTCATCCGTGCCTTTGGGCAACATGTCTGGCTGCCAAGGAATACTGAGCAGCTAATGAAACACACAGAGTAAATACGTGGTGCTGGCAGATAAAACCGACTTCCCACATTCCTACAGTATTGTTTTAAAGTACGCTAAAACCCCCTCCTGGTGCATCAGGATCACTACCACTGGTTTTCTCAGTGCCAGATCACATCTCAGAGGAAGATGGATATGGGGAAGAAGACTCAGAAGCGGCCGTTCTACATTTTTATGCTCTTTTTTTTTGTCAGTGCCAATTTCTTTAATTATCACCTTTCCCCCAACACCCCTGCATGCTCCTTTTGGTCTCACGCAGAAACATAGTGTGTCCTGTCCCCCCAAAGTCAGCAGCAAACGTGTTGAGGTAGCTACACAGATCTGGTAGGATAATCATAGGAAAAAAACCGTTTCACCTGCATCGGGCTGTGGAGCCAGCGTGCGCAGGGCCCCCCACAGCGCTGGGCTGCTCCTGCGGGCAAAGGGGAAAGGGAGGAGCGAAGCCCGGGATCCCTAAAACTGGTGGTGCTGCTGAAGCTGATGTGTAGCGAGGCGTTCGCCTGAGCAGGGGACCAAGAGACCGCAGTGGACAAGCCCCGCGGCGGAGCCCCTCTGCCTTCTGCGGCTGTGAGGAGCAGAGATAAATCGGCACCGGCGATGCCAGCGCCCACGGCCTATGCATTGCCCGGCAATGGCCGCCAGCCCCTCACGGCCTCGGCCCAAGGGAGAATCACGGTCGCCATGGCGACACCGCGCCGGCGCCCCCCCGCCCTTCACCCGGCACCGCCCAATCAGCTCCTCGGCCTCCGCCGGCGAGGCTCCCTCCCATTGGTGCACGTCGCCAACCCCGCCTCCCGCCTCCCGCCGCGACCAATCGGCTGCAGCCACCGCGGCCCTGCGGCGGGGCGGGGCGGGGCGGGCGCCCATAAAGAGGCGGGCCGGGCGGGGAAGCGCCGCCGGTCCCGCTGTCGCTCGCTATGGCGGAGTCGCTGTCGCTGCTGGTCCGCAGCCCCACGCACCGGCACCCCGACCTGCGCCTCCGCGCCGGCCCCGCCTGGACCGTGCGCCGCCTCAAGGCCGAGCTGCGCCGCCTCCTGCCCGAAGCACCGGTGAGTTCGCCGTACCCACTTCCCCCACCCCCCCCCGCGCCTTTCCCCTCAGCTGGGGCGTGGGCTGAGTCCCCGTGGGAGCCGCCGTTTCGCCCTGCCAGCCCCTGTCCCCCCCCCCCGGGGGTGTCCCAAACCCCATTGCATCAGCAGCCGGCGGGCGTGGGAGTTGTTTTGGGGCTTAACTCGGCTTCTGTTAAAAATTAACAGCGTGTCGCCGTGTTCCAGCCCCCACCCCCGGGCGGGCTACGTGTCCTGGGGGGTGTTCGGAAACGCCGGCGGGGAGGGTCGTGCGAGTGGGCTGAGGCACCTTCCGGGACAGGTTGTGGTTTTGTGTTTTTTTTTTTTTTTTATGTTTTTTTTTATGTTTGTTTTTTTTTTGTGTGTGTGGTTTTTTTTTGTTGTGTTTTTTTTTTTTTTTTTTTTTTTAGTTTTGTGGTTTTTTTTCGGAAGCTCTCACCCCGTTGAAGGAGCGGCAGGCCGGGCCGTGCGTAGCGAGGTCACTGGGTTTGTAGTGGTGGTTGCTGGTGAAAAGGCAGAAGCCTCCCTCCCTCTCTCCCTCCCTCCCTCCGCAGCCGCGGGGGCTCGGTGCGCTTCAGCACCGGGGCTTTTTTTGCCTCGCTTTCTCTGGGAGCGAGGTAATGGCCCAGAAACAAGATCAGCACGCCTTCCCGACTGCTGCTGCGCTAGGAAGGCTCTCGGCGAGAGCTGGAACAGATTTACTTGATGCTACCTCCAGGGCTGCTCAGATTATGTGATGCTCCAGACATCTAAGAAAACACAAATATTTTTGTCCAGACTGTAAAAGAGAAGGCACGTAACAAAAGTTTTTTGCCAAAGGGGTGCTTTATATACTCATGATGATTTAGACCTTGACGTTAGTAATTTTGCACTTCAGTGTCAGTTGTTCTATTAGCTGGATTTAGATGTGTGCACTTCCCTATACACATTAATGTGCGGGGTGCTTCTGTCTGGCTGCGTGTTGTCAGCTACTGCTTGTGTGTGCTTGGCAGAGCAAGTCATCCCACTCTTTTTTTTTTTTTTTCTTCAAAGCCTGAAGAGGACCAAAAGCTGATTTATTCTGGGAAGCTGCTGCTTGATCATCATTATCTGAGAGAGTTGCTGCCAAAGGTATACAAAAAAAAAAAATCTTATCGCATGCTGAAATATATCAAGACAAGTAATTGGTTTTTAACATGTCTTCCCTTATGTTTTAGCATGGGGAGGTGCATGCTCTTCATCTGGTGTACAACTTCAAGACGCCTGAAAACGTGCAAGAAACCAATGCAGAGGTACTTATATGAAGTTAACGTATTACTCTGAATCTTAGGGTTGTGACTAAAAATGGGAAGTGTTGAATGGCTACTTTAAAGTTTACTGGAGCTGCAGTGTAATGGCAGTATTTGTGATAATTTGTTTAGGATTGCAAGAGTGTATTTGGATTAAGCTACTTTACAGTTCCTCAGTAAAGATTCTCATGGCATCTGTTAAGAAATATCAAAACTATAATCTAATTGTAACACACTTCTCAGAGGATTTCTGGTAAAATCACTTTTAAATAGACTAGGACTTGGCACGTCCCAGGCGCTTTCGGGCAGAGGCTGTGCTTGTAGGCAGAAGACAGCAGTTAAAGTGGAAGTGGTTCTGATCTGT